CCTTTCTTTCTCCGTGCCTCTCCTTTGCTCCCTCCCTGCCCCCGCCTGCCCATGCCCCTGTCTTTGGCTTTCTCCCCTCCCTGCCCCACGTTTCTTCCCTCCCTGCCCCCCGTCTCCTGCCCCTCCCTGTTTTCCCCTCACCCATTGCTTTCTCTCCTCCCTGCCCTTGATTTCCCACACCCCTGCCCTCGTTCCTATCATCCATGCCCCTCGTTTCCCCCCTTTTGTACGTTCAGCCTCTTCCTCCCTGCCCCTCCCTTCCTCCCCCCCTGCCCTTTGCTCTCCCCTCGTTACGCTCCCTTCTCCCCCATCCCTGCTGCCCTCTTACACCATCAGCAGCCCTCCCCACGACCAGCCCCCCTCCCACCCTTCAATCCCCCCCTCCCTCTCTCTCTCTCTCTCTCTCTCTCTTTCTCACACGCACACACACACGCACACACTCCCCTCCCCCACCCCCCCCCACCTACATCCTCCCATTCTGCCCCTCCCTGCCCCTTTCCCACCCCCTCGCACGCCCCTCACCTCCCACCTCCGTGCAACTGGTTTCCCCCCTATGGTGCCACCCTTGCATCGCTCGCCCCTCTGCTCACCCTCTCCCGCCCCTTTTCCGTGCCCTCAGTTGGCCCAGCCCCTGCCCGTTGCTGCCCCTCCCCTTGCCCCCTCAACTCCCCTGCCCCCCGTACACCCCAAGTCCCATCCAACCGCCCCCACACCTCCCCCGGCTGCCCGTTTCCGCTCTCCACCCCCGCGACCGTGTGCGGCTTCCAACCGCCCAACGTGGTGCGCACGGGGCGTTTCTTCGCATGGGCAGCCTCCCCGGGGGCCCCCCACCCCGCTGGTCGTTGTTTGGGCAAAAAACGAAAAGAAAGAATCGGACGCGCTAAAATCGTCCTTTCTTTTTCCCGCTTGCCCCTCCCCCGGCACGTGCCGAGCAAGGGGCATAAATGTTACAACACGAGGACTTCCCGGAGGTCACCCAGCCCAGTACTGCTCTCGCCCACCGGCGCTTAGCTTCGGAGTTCTGATGGGATCCGGCGTAGTAGCCGAGGTATGATCGTACCACGTCAACCTCGTGCCCCGACCGCTACACACCCCTTGCCCGGGGTCCCCCCCTTCATAGTCACACCCCCTGCCCCCTCATGCCATCCGCTCCCCCCGCCCCTACCCTCCGCGTGCCCGCTCCCTTGCCGCCTCTTTTGACCCTCCCTGCCCCCCCTCGCCGTTTCCCACCGGCCCGCCATTCGCTCCTCCCCGCCCGTGCGCTCCCCTCCTTTACCTTCTCCTCCCCCCTCCCCTCCTCTGCTGCACGCCTCTTCCTTCCCCTCGCCGACCCACTCCACTCCCTGCCCCTCCTCAATCCGCACCCTGCCCCTCGTATCTCGCCCCCCTATGCTTGGTTTCTCCCCTCCCTGCCCCTCGCCGCCTTTCCCCGCTCCCCACCTCCCCCCTCTCCCCTGCCCCCCCCACTCTCCCCCCCCCCTTGTCCTTGGCTTCCTACCTCCCTGCCTCACCTTTCCCCCCTCCGTGTGCTCAGCTTCTCCCCTCCCTGCCCCTCCCTCCTCCCCGCCCTGCCCCTCATTTTCCGCCCCCCCCCCCCCCCACGCCCGGTTTCTCCCCTCCCCGCGCCTCCCTTTCTTTCTCCGTGCCTCTCCTTTGCTCCCTCCCTGCCCCCGCCTGCCCATGCCCCTGTCTTTGGCTTCTCCCCTCCCTGCCCCACGTTTCTTCCCTCCCTGCCCCCCGTCTGCCCCTCCCTTGTTTTCCCCCTCACCCATTGCTTCTCTCCTCCCTGCCCTTGATTTCCCACACCCCTGCCCTCGTTTCCTATCATCCATGCCCCTCGTTTCCCCCCTTTGTACGTTCAGCCTCTTCCCTCCCTGCCCCTCCCTTCCTCCCCCCCTGCCCTTTGCTCTCCCCTCGTTACGCTCCCTTCTCCCCATCCCTGCTGCCCTCTTACCACCATCAGCCCATCCCCACGACCAGCCCCCCTCCCACCCTTCAATCCCCCCCTCCCTCTCTCTCTCTCTCTCTCTCTCTCTCTTTCTCACAACGCACACACACACGCACACTCCCCTCCCCCACCCCCCCCCACCTACATCCTCCCATTCTGCCCCTCCCTGCCCCTTTCCCACCCCCTCGCACGCCCCTCACCTCCCACCTCCGTGCAACTGGTTTCCCCCCTATGGTGCCACCCTTGCATCGCTCGCCCCTCTGCTCACCCTCTGCCCGCCCCTTTTCCGTGCCCTCAGTTGGCCCAGCCCCTGCCCGTTGCTGCCCCTCCCCTTGCCCCCTCAACTCCCCTGCCCCCCGTACACCCAAGTCCCATCCAACCGCCCCCACCCTCCCCCGGCTGCCCGTTTCCGCTCTCCACCCCCGCGACCGTGTGCGGCTTCCAACCGCCCAACGGTGGTGCGCACGGGGCGTTTCTTCGCATGGGCAAGCCTCCCCGGGGGCCCCCCACCCCGCTGGGTCGTTGTTTGGGCAAAAAAACGAAAAGAAAAGAATCGGACGCGCTAAAATCGTCCTTTCTTTTTCCCGCTTGCCCCTCCCCCGGCACGTGCCGAGCAAGGGGCATAAATGGGTACAACACGAGGACTTCCCGGGAGGTCACCCAGCCCAGTACTGCTCTCGCCCACCGATAGTGGCTGTGCTTGAAACGCTGTGCCCGTGCGGTCGTGCGGGTTGCTGCCGTGTTTTGGTCCTTTGGTGCTTCCTCCTCCTTAGTCTCTCTCCCTCTCTCCTCTTTTCTTCCCACCTCCCTCTTTCTGTTCCCTTCTTCTATCCTTCCCTTCTCTTCCTACCGCCCTCTTCTTTCCCTACCACTTCTTCTTACTCCTTCATCCTTCCTTCCTTTCCTTTCTTTCCCCCTTTTCCTACAAAATATATATACCGTCCTCATAGCGATTAGGCTATGTCGAAATTTCCTAGTCTTGGAAAAACCATTATATTCGGCTTGTATTTGCTCTTCCCCTATTAATGAATAACTGCTCTCGCCCACCGGCGCTTAGCTTCGGAGTTCTGATGGGATCCGGCGTAGTAGCCGAGGTATGATCGTACCACGTCAACCTCGTGCCCCGACCGCTACACACCCCTTGCCCGGGTCCCCCCCTTCATAGTCACACCCCCTGCCCCCTCATGCCATCCGCTCCCCCCGCCCCTACCCTCCGCGTGCCCGCTCCCTTGCCGCCTCTTTTGACCCTCCCTGCCCCCCCTCGCCGTTTCCCACCGCCCGCCATTCGCTCCTCCCCGCCCGTGCGCTCCCCTCCTTTACCTTCTCCTCCCCCCTCCCCTCCTCTGCTGCACGCCTCTTCCTTCCCCTCGCCGACCCACTCCACTCCCTGCCCCTCCTCAATCCGCACCCTGCCCCTCGTATCTCGCCCCCCTATGCTTGGTTTCTCCCCTCCCTGCCCCTCGCCGCCTTTCCCCGCTCCCCACCTCCCCCCTCTCCCTGCCCCCCCCACTCTCCCCCCCCCCTTGTCCTTGGCTTCCTACCTCCCTGCCTCACCTTTCCCCCCTCCGTGTGCTCAGCTTCTCCCCTCCCTGCCCCTCCCTCCTCCCCGCCCTGCCCCTCATTTTCCGCCCCCCCCCCCCCCCACGCCCGGTTTCTCCCCTCCCCGCGCCTCCCTTTCTTTCTCCGTGCCTCTCCTTTGCTCCCTCCCTGCCCCCGCCTGCCCATGCCCCTGTCTTTGGCTTCTCCCCTCCCTGCCCCACGTTTCTTCCCTCCCTGCCCCCCGTCTGCCCCTCCCTTGTTTTCCCCTCACCCATTGCTTCTCTCCTCCCTGCCCTTGATTTCCCACACCCCTGCCCTCGTTTCCTATCATCCATGCCCCTCGTTTCCCCCCTTTGTACGTTCAGCCTCTTCCCTCCCTGCCCCTCCCTTCCTCCCCCCCCTGCCCTTTGCTCTCCCCTCGTTACGCTCCCTTCTCCCCATCCCTGCTGCCCTCTTACCACCATCAGCCCATCCCCACGACCAGCCCCCCTCCCACCCTTCAATCCCCCCCTCCCTCTCTCTCTCTCTCTCTCTCTCTCTCTCTCTCTCTCTCTCTTTCTCACACACACACACACACGCACACTCCCCTCCCCCACCCCCCCCCCACCTACATCCTCCCATTCTGCCCCTCCCTGCCCCTTTCCCACCCCCTCGCACGCCCCTCACCTCCCACCTCCGTGCAACTGGTTTCCCCCCTATGGTGCCACCCTTGCATCGCTCGCCCCTCTGCTCACCCTCTGCCCGCCCCTTTTCCGTGCCCTCAGTTGGCCCAGCCCCTGCCCGTTGCTGCCCCTCCCCTTGCCCCCTCAACTCCCCTGCCCCCCGTACACCCCAAGTCCCATCCAACCGCCCCCACCCTCCCCCGGCTGCCCGTTTCCGCTCTCCACCCCCGCGACCGTGTGCGGCTTCCAACCGCCCAACGGTGGTGCGCACGGGGCGTTTCTTCGCATGGGCAAGCCTCCCCGGGGGCCCCCCACCCCTGCTGGGTCGTTGTTTGGGCAAAAAAACGAAAAGAAAAGAATCGGACGCGCTAAAATCGTCCTTTCTTTTTCCCGCTTGCCCCTCCCCCGGCACGTGCCGAGCAAGGGGCATAAATGGGTACAACACGAGGACTTCCCGGGAGGTCACCCAGCCCAGTACTGCTCTCGCCCACCGGCGCTTAGCTTCGGAGTTCTGATGGGATCCGGCTAATAGCTGAGGTATGATCGTACCACGTCAACCTCGTGCCCCGACCGCCGGGTCCCCCCCTTCATAGTCACACCCCCTGCCCCCTCATGCCATCCGCTCCCCCCGCCCCTACCCTCCGCGTGCCCGCTCCCTTGCCGCCTCTTTTGACCCTCCCTGCCCCCCCTCGCCGTTTCCCACCGCCCGCCATTCGCTCCTCCCCGCCCGTGCGCTCCCCTCCTTTACCTTCTCCTCCCCCCTCCCCTCCTCTGCTGCACGCCTCTTCCTTCCCCTCGCCGACCCACTCCACTCCCTGCCCCTCCTCAATCCGCACCCTGCCCCTCGTATCTCGCCCCCCTATGCTTGGTTTCTCCCCTCCCTGCCCCTCGCCGCCTTTCCCCGCTCCCCACCTCCCCCCTCTCCCTGCCCCCCCCACTCTCCCCCCCCCTTGTCCTTGGCTTCCTACCTCCCTGCCTCACCTTTCCCCCCTCCGTGTGCTCAGCTTCTCCCCTCCCTGCCCCTCCCTCCTCCCCGCCCTGCCCCTCATTTTCCGCCCCCCCCCCCCCCACGCCCGGTTTCTCCCCTCCCCGCGCCTCCCTTTCTTTCTCCGTGCCTCTCCTTTGCTCCCTCCCTGCCCCCGCCTGCCCATGCCCCTGTCTTTGGCTTCTCCCCTCCCTGCCCCACGTTTCTTCCCTCCCTGCCCCCCGTCTGCCCCTCCCTTGTTTTCCCCTCACCCATTGCTTCTCTCCTCCCTGCCCTTGATTTCCCACACCCCTGCCCTCGTTTCCTATCATCCATGCCCCTCGTTTCCCCCCTTTGTACGTTCAGCCTCTTCCCTCCCTGCCCCTCCCTTCCTCCCCCCCTGCCCTTTGCTCTCCCCTCGTTACGCTCCCTTCTCCCCATCCCTGCTGCCCTCTTACCACCATCAGCCCATCCCCACGACCAGCCCCCCTCCCACCCTTCAATCCCCCCCTCCCTCTCTCTCTCTCTCTCTCTCTCTCTCTTTCTCACACGCACACACACACGCACACTCCCCTCCCCCACCCCCCCCCACCTACATCCTCCCATTCTGCCCCTCCCTGCCCCTTTCCCACCCCCTCGCACGCCCCTCACCTCCCACCTCCGTGCAACTGGTTTCCCCCCTATGGTGCCACCCTTGCATCGCTCGCCCCTCTGCTCACCCTCTGCCCGCCCCTTTTCCGTGCCCTCAGTTGGCCCAGCCCCTGCCCGTTGCTGCCCCTCCCCTTGCCCCCTCAACTCCCCTGCCCCCCGTACACCCCAAGTCCCATCCAACCGCCCCCACCCTCCCCCGGCTGCCCGTTTCCGCTCTCCACCCCCGCGACCGTGTGCGGCTTCCAACCGCCCAACGGTGGTGCGCACGGGGCGTTTCTTCGCAATGGGCAAGCCTCCCCGGGGGCCCCCCACCCCGCTGGGTCGTTGTTTGGGCAAAAAAAACGAAAGAAAAGAATCGGACGCGCTAAAATCGTCCTTTCTTTTTCCCGCTTGCCCCTCCCCCGGCACGTGCCGAGCAAGGGGCATAAATGGGTACAACACGAGGACTTCCCGGGAGGTCACCCAGCCCAGTACTGCTCTCGCCCCGAGTTCTGGCAGAAGCGATTAGCTGCTACGAGTTTTTCCCGCGGTTTCCCTCTCTCGAAGTCACTGAGCTTAGCTTCCGCCCGTAGTTAGCACTCTTCCTTCCCTTTCGGTGCGCCCTTCTTTATCGTAACCCTAATTCGAAGAGCCGCGCGTTTCCAAGCACGCTTTCTCGTCGCCTATCATGTTTAGTCATGCACTCGTTTTCCCCGCCTGTTCAATCTAGCCGCGACGTAGACGGAACCGCGCACGGGGGCGCTTACCGCCAGGGAAAGGCAGCGCGGAGGGAGGCGAAATTGCTACGTTCGTAGCGATTAAGCAGCCCTCCCCTTGCGCGCCTCCCGAAGCGCGTTTTCTGCCTAGAGCGTTTTAGCCGCCCACGTTTGGCACACAAGCCGCCCCACTCCCCTTTTGCTCACTCCCACCCTGCCGTGCCTCGTCGCGCACTCGTGCATGCCACCCACACGTCGTAATTTTACCCCGTCGCCACCCACATAGTCACCTCCCTGCTCACACCGCCCCTTTCCCCCTCACACGCGCGCTTTAGCCACCCCGCCACCTAACCTCTTTCCCTAACGGCGCTTAGCTAGCAGAGGCCGCCCTGTTTCTGGAAACCGTAGGAAATAAGAGGAAACAACTTCAAGGAAAAAAGAAAAGAAAAAGAAATTCATATAAATCCGAAAAAACCAGGAAAAATCAGAAAGGCAGCTTACACCTTGTTCTCCCAACCCTCCAGGGCCCCACCCAGTCCGCCACCCCCCCATTCTGTTTCATCATACTACACCACACCCTCCCCTTTTGCCCACCAGCATTACCGCCCCTCTCCCCTTATCCCCCACCACGCCCCCAAGCAGGCCTTTCTCCCCCCAGCCTCCCGTCTCCCTGCCCTTAGTACCGCCGCGCTCTGCCCGTGCGTCACCCTTGCCCACTTCATACCACCTCCCCCTTCTCCCCCCCCCCCGGCTTCTCCCTATCATCACCCGCATGTTCCCCCACTCCCCTGTCCACAACGTCCCTCCACCCCCCTTCCTGCTTTCCCCACTCCCACTCTGCCCCCCACACCTCTACGAGCCGTACTTCCCCCTCCAGCCTCCCTTTCCCCCCCAGCTACTTCCGCATCCAGCGTGGGCTGCACCTCTGCATCCCGCCCTGCCAGGCCCTTCGGTGACCCAACTGCCGCCACCTGGCACCACGCCGCCTTTCCCACCCCCATCCAATCTCTACACCCCCTGCCCCTGCTCCCTGCGCAATCCAGCCACCTACCCCAGCCTCCCTCTACCTCTCCCTAACTCCACACCGCCGTTCCTACCCCCAGCCAAGGTCTACACCCCTTGCTTTTGCTCCCTGGGCTGTGCCGTCCCCAACCTCCCTCCGCCTTTCCGCGGCACCAGACCGCCTCTCCCTCCCCCAGCCAACTTTTGCACCCCCTGTTCCTGCCCCTTGTGCCCTCCAACACCCTACCTCAACCCCCCCCAGTCTCCCCCTTCTCCAACACCCTCCATATTTCCTCCCCCCTGGGGCTCGCCCATCCGCAGCTATCACCCTTCATCGATTCCCCAATTCCCTCTGTCCCCTGTTTCCCGGCCCCGCATCCTATCCTGCATTTACCACAGCACCTCCTTTCGGTGCCCTCTCTGCCCTCCCACGTTCTCACCCCCCGCCTCCCAACCTTCTCATTACCCGCTACCAGGCTCACGCCAACTCGACTACCCACTACCCTTTGCCCCTTCCTCTCTGTTCCCCACCCTTCCTTTCCCACCTGGCTCCACCTGCCCACCCCCACCTCCCGTGGAATTCTGCCCTGCCCTCCCCACCTCTGGCCCACCACCTGTCCCCACACCCTGCTCACCCACCGCTACACCACCCCCGCCCCCCCACCTCCACTACAGCCCGCCAACACTTCCCCTCTCAATCGGCCCCCAGCCCGCCCCCCCCTTGGGCCCCAATCCCCTCCAACTGTCAGGCCCCCTCTACCCTCTCTTCCACCCACTGCGCACCGCTTTCCCCACCCTTTTCCCCTTTCCCCAAGCTAACCCCCCGCACCCCGGCCTCTGCCAGGGAGTTCCTTCCCCCTTTGACGCCCTCTTGAGCCAACCCCAGCAACTCACACCGCCACCGCCAGGCATGCTGCCTCTGTAACAATGCCCCAGCACCCCGCGAGTGGGGGAAAGGCAGGCCCGGGAGCCCCTCGGCGATCTGGGAGGTCCCGCAGCCGAGCCACCCCCTACTCTCCCACTCCCCCCACTTCAACAGTCAGGAAGAAACAACACACACCTGACCAAGCGAAAACACTCACACAATCTGACCCTAGGGGCCAGAAGCGTACCTTTGAAGAGGATGGAACAGAGGAACGCCAAGCCCCACTGGAGGAAATACACGAGGAGGAGCCAGCACGCTCAAAACCGCGCCCTACCCCCGCTGCCCCATCCCAGTCTACCCCCCCTTCAGGTGACAGCGGGGGCGGCACCCATGCATGCTCAGTAGAGAGATCCTCCAACTCACTCGCTACCTCCCATTCGCAAACCAGATTACTTGTGAAAACACTTAATCCTACCCGCACCCCCAAGCACATAGAAGCGGGAGAGGGCAGAGCCAGGGGGGAACTTGCAGCTGACACTGCACGGGAAGGGGTAAGTGAGTTTGTGTGTGAAGGAGCAGCAGAGGCTACAGAGGATGGGGCAGCAAAGGCTGCACGGGAAGGGGCAATGGGGGTTGTGGGGGAAGGGGCAGCAGAGGCTGCAGAGGAAAGGGCAGCAGAGGCTGCAAGGGAAGGGGCAGCAGCGGCTGCACGGGAAAGGGCGGCAGGGGCTGCACGGGAAGGGGCGGCAGGGACCGTGACTCTGGCCAGGCAAAGGGCAGAGGCCATGGAGACAGGTTTTGCAGGAGTAGGGGCCACGGAACCTGCTGCTGCGTCGGCTGGGGGAACCGCAGCAGAGGAGGCTATAGGGACCGCACCAGGTGAGGCCGCACAGACCACAGCAGGTGTGGCTGCAGGGATCACAACGGGTGAGGCTGCAGGAGGGACCATGGCAGGTGAGGCCGCAGGGAGCGCAGTAGGTGAGGCTGCGGGGAGCGCAGCAGGTGAGGCTGTAGGGGGCGCAGCAGGTGAGGCTGCAGAGAGCGCAGCAGGTGAGGCCGCAGGGAGCGCAGCAAGCGAGGCTGCAGGGAGCGCAGCAGGCGAGGCTGCAGGGAGCGCAGCAGGCGGGACTGCAGGGGCCACAGCAGGTGAGGCTGCGGCGGACGCAGCAGGTGAGGCTGCGAGGGCTGCATCATGTAAGGTTGGGCAGACTCTAGCAGGTGAGGCTGCACAGTCTACAGCTGGTGAGGTCGCATGGACTGCAACAGGTGAGGCCGCAGGGACTGCAGCAGGTGAGGCGGCAGGGACCACAGCGGATGAGGCTGCAGGCGGGACCATGGCAGGTGAGGCCGCAGGGAGCGCAGCAGGTGAGGCTGAAATAGCCGCAGCAGGTGAGGCTGCAGAGGCCGCAGCATGTGAGGTTGAGCAGATTCTAGCAGGTGAGGCTGCACAGACTGCAGCAGGTGAGGCCGCAGGGACTGCAGCGGGTGAGGCTGCAGGGACTGCAGCACGTGAGGCTGCAGGGACTGCAGCACGTGAGGCTACAGGGATCGCGGCTGGTGAGGCTGAGCAGATTACGGTAGGCGAGGTTTTACAGACTGCAGCAGTCGAGGCTGCAAGGACTGCAGCAGGAGCGACAGAGGCCACAGCGGGGGCTGGTATAGGGGGAGGTGCTACGGGTGCAGCGGGGAAGGGGGTAACGGGGACTGGTGCGAGGGAGAGTGCCGCCCCGGCTGTAGCAAGAGAGGGTACGGCAGGGGCCTCAAAGGCAGAAGGTGAGGCTGCAGCTGAAGCAGCAGGGAGGGCCATAGCACGGCCAGTAGGGGCGGCAGGGGCCGCAGCAAACTCGGGGAAACACACAGCAGGGCCGGCAGGGCCGGCAGAGACTGCAAAAGGGGCTAGCAGTAAAGCGGCAGCAGGCGGGGTGGGCTTGGGGGACATAGGGGCAACAGGGGAAGGAGAGGGGAGGGTGGTCCCGACCGGGGTGGGCACTGAAGAGGGGGATGTGATAGCGATAGAGGAGGATGAGGGAGAGGATGTGATGCACATTGACGGGCCACTGGCCCAATACCTCACGCTTGACGGTGAGGCCGACCCGGCCCCCCTGCAGCCTCACGTCGAGGTTCCCCCTCTACCCCCCATGCCCGTCCCCATGCTAGCAGAAGGACCGATGGAGGGGCTGGGGGAGACCTTGAGGACAGAGCCGCGCGAGGGAGCCCCCATCCTCACCTCCCGTCCTCCAGCCCACCAGCCCCCAGGAGCACCACTTCCCCACCCCCACCCTCAGGTCCCGGTAGTGTCCAGGGGGGCAGCCAAGGCCCTGGCCTTCTTGGCGGAGCCGTGCTCCCCGACCCCCACGCTGCTCCATGGCCAGCCCCCCTCTCCGTCCCCAACGCCTGACCCCACGGTTGCAGGCGGTCCACCGGGAGAGCACGCGGGTGCGACAAGAGCAGAGTCACCCGAGGGCACCCCTTCTCTCACCTCTCACCCCTCCCCGCCCCTTCCCTCACTCCTTCCTTCACCCCCAAGGGCAGCACACCTCTGCCCCCACCCTCAGGGGCTCCTTAGAGCACCACGTGGAGCAGCCAGGGCTCTGGTCTTCCTAGAGGAGCCATGCTCCCCGACTCCTACCAACACCCAGCCACCCCTTACCGGCCCACTACCCCCTCCTCCACCAGGCCCCCCCCCACCCGGTAGTACACACATCTCGGAGGTTGAAGCATCTCTGCGGCCAAATCCCTCTCCCACACGCTACAGGCACCCAAACCACCCGAGTCGCCGCACAGCCCCAACACGCCCACCCAACAGGCTGCCCTCCCCACACCACCCCCCCCAGGCAGCCGAGACCCACCCGCAAGGGCTTGCGCCCCAGGCTCATGGGAGCGGCGGCACCCGGGTAGAGGGGCCCACAGGAGAGGCCACCACAGAGCCCACACAAATCTCTCTCCCCCCACCGTTTGTACCTCGCTCTAACCTCCACACTGGCCCAGCCCCTCGACCCCCACCTCCAACCCCCTCTCCCGGCCGGGTTCCCCACGAGTGGCCCCGTTGGGCAGCCATCACCCCCCACACACAGCTTGCCCGATCTGTTCCCACGGAGGGGGATGTTTCGAGGAGAGTGGGGATGCACACAGAGCACCCCCTGCCTGGCGAACCACCCATCCTCCCTCCACCCACCCCTTTGGCCCCACAGCCCCCCCTTCCTTCACAAACAGGCGCGGACAACCAGGTTGGCCGCCGGCGGAAGAACAGGGGCAGAGGAGGCAGAGGGTCAGCCCACGTACTCCCCCCTCCCTCCCTCCCCCACCAAGAGCCCCTCCCCACCTCACATCCCGTTGAACAATTACCAGGCCCTACCTCTACAGCCCGTCCACCAAACCTACACTCCCGCCCCGCTCCTGCACCTCCACAGGGCCATGGGAGCGGACCAGCCCACTCACCCCCATTCTGCCCCTCCCGTGCTGTGTCCCCCTCCCAGGTGGCGGCGGCCGCGATCGCTACTGGGAGGGGGGCCGTCGGGTTGAGGGATGCGCCCATGGCAGACGCCACCGACTCCCCCTCCCATCCCTCCCACCCCTTCCATGTCGACGACCCCCTACCGCAACCCATGGTGATTGGGGAGGGCCAAGGGGGCCTTCTAGGGCAGGGTCCACACCCGAGCTCCGCTCAGCCAGCACGCCCCACTCCACCCTCTACCCTGCCAGCCCTCCTACTCTCACCTACAGGCAGGCAGGTCTTCGAGACCCCAGAGGAGGTGAGGGCTGGCATTTCAGATTTGCTGGCGATACACCGCCTGAGCAGCTCTCCGGCTGCCCCCACCCTTCCAGTCCCACAGGACCGGACCCGGACGTATGCGGAGGTCACCCGGTCTGTCCCTTCTTTTATCCCCCCCGCCACTCAGCCAGGCGCGTCACTCCCGACCCCAATGGAGACGGACCGGGGTCTGAGGCCGTGTCACTCGCACCTAGACGGGGTGGCGCCTCCCCCCGTTCAGCCCGTGGCGCAGGAGGTCACCAGCAGTAGGGATGAGGCATCCGCCCCTACCGAGACCCCTCCGCCTGGGGTAGCAGAGCCGTCACTTGAACCGCACCCCGCCGAGGGGCAGGAGCACACCACGGCACACACTTCAGGCTCACCTCCACGTCCCCCCTCCCCAGCTTCAACACCGGTGCCGGCACGAGGCCCGGCCCTATCCTGTGCGACACCACCTCTATCTTCGCTGACACCCCCCCCGCGCGGGGCTGGTGAGTCGTCTCCTCCCCTCATCCCAGGCGATCCTGTCGGAGCTCAGGCCGCCCACGGGGTCCCCTCTACAGCCAGTTCCGACGCCACGGCCCCGATTGACCCCGCCGACACGGCGACATCACCCGACCAGGTCGTGAGTTGCCCCACCTGCAGGAGCTCTCTCGCGAACCGACGCGCGCTCCAGCACCACATTCCCTTCTGCCATCCTGCGGACGCGGCTCGCAGGGCGCAGGCTGCCCATGATACCGCCTCGATCATCCCTTCCCTCTCACAGCCCCGTGCGACCGGGATGCAGTTCACCGACGCACAGTGGCAGACGCTCGACTCGGTGGACTGGACAGAGTACTTCTCGCCCGAGCGTATCCATACACGCCCTCTCCGACGTGTCCCGGAGAGGGTCCGCGGAGGATATCTTGACGTCCTCAGTGCGATCCTAGTCCGCATTGCCCAGGACCCGGAGGCTGCTGGCCCTACCTTCCTCCTCGCTGCAGCGCCGACTCTTTTCCTTGTTCCAGCGACGCCACCCGACCGCTCGCACACGGCTGCCATTGCAACGCGCATCTCTCGCTTTGGTCGAGGTGAGTGGGCTGAGCTAGTCTCAGATGCACTAGGCCGTCGCACACCCCTTCCTCGCCGCACAGGTCACCGGTCACGCACCGCCACCGATCCCTCTGCAGCAGATGAGCGCCGCATTGCACGTTGCCTTCGTCTGGCAGCGTGCAATGAGACCTCACGGGCGTGCGCGGCTCTCGAGTCCGCGGAGGCAGCCCCAGATACACAGGGGACGATACAGCGCCTGCAGTCGAAGCACCCCAACGCGGAGAGGCCGACCCCAGCTTGGCTGTCTGGCTTCCAGGGGTCCCCTCTCGTGCTCTCGGTGGATCACTTACGCCGCGCGATTTTCACAGCTCCGCGGGGCTCTTCGGGAGGACCGTCCGGTTGGGTCGCTGAGCACCTGCGAGACACTTTCCTAGCTTTCCCTCAGAGTCTCCATTTCCTCCTGGCCGTGTACCAGCAGTGGCTCCGAGGCCGTTGCGCTCCAGCTGCGCGCTCCTTGCTAGCGTCCTCCACCCTCGTGGCTCTGGCGAAGTCGAACATGGATGTTCGGCCGATTGCCATCGGCGAGGTTTTGGTCCGCATTCTTTCTCGGGCAGTTTGTCTCCAGCTACGTGACCAGATGGCGAGGGTCTTCTTGGCATCACAGCAGTTTGGGGTGGGGGTTACGTGCGGGACAGAGGTCGTAGTTAGAGGCGTCCGCCGCGCTCTGGCTGACCACCCAGACTGGGTGGTCCTGCAGCTAGACGTGGCGAATGCCTTTAACTCTTTCCACCGAGACAGGATGTTTCAGGCGCTGCAGGCCAGTCCGGAGTTTCAGTGTCTGATCCCCTTCATCGGCCTCTTCTACGGGACGCCCTCGGATCTCCACTACAGGTCAGGCACGGGAGTGGTCACGATGCACTCGGAGCGGGGCACTCGCCAGGGAGACCCTCTCAGCCCCTTCTTGTACGCTCTGACACAGCGTCTTGCTTTGGAGCCGGTTCTGGCGGAGGGGGATGTCCAGCTCTGGTCGTACGCCGATGACACGTACGTGCTAGGTCCCCCAGACAGGGTGCTGCACCATTTTGCCGAGATCGTGAGGCGCTTGGGCGAGATGGGCCTTGCAGCCCAGCCGCACAAGTGCCTCGTCTACCAGACAGAGTCCTTTCTGTCCAGGGATCTGGAGGCTTTCACGGGCCTAGGGATCGAGGTCGCACGCCGAGGGCTCACCGTGACAGGCGTACCGGTAGGCACCGTTTCGTTCGTGGAGCAGAGTCTCCCGGATCGTCTCGAGAGGATGGGGCGGGTGCTACCTTGGCTTCCGAGGTTGCGCCAGCCCCAGACAGCTGCCCGCCTTCTTTCGGCGTGTGTCAGCACTCGTCCGCAGTACCTGTCGAGGACCGTCCCTCCTTCGCCCGCAGTGATCTCCAGTTTTACACGGTGGGACGCACGCCTGGGAGAGACTTTTCAGCAGCTTTTAGCTTCAGGGACCTGGGCTTGTCGCGAGGACGTCCGAGAGGCCGCCCTAGACCAGATCTTCCTCCCCATCCGTCTCGGGGGTTTCGGCATTCGTCGCATGGCGCGCATGGCCCCGGTGAGTTTCGTGTGCTCCTGGGTGCAGTGTGCACCCATTCTCTGTTCTCTCCCTGCGTGTGGCGAGGTGTTTCGGCAGAGCTTCGCTTCAGGTGAGCCAGAGCAGATCGACCGGGCTCTGCAGACGGCGCTAGAGGGTCTCCCTCCTGACGTTCTCTCTCTCCTTCCCCCCTGGCCCTCTTGCGCTTCTGCCTCCCCCGATTCCCTTTTTGCAGGAGCGAGCCGTCTTCTGGAGGCGCATGCCTTGGAGGCCGTGCGTGCCCGTCACACCTCTCCCTTGCACCTTGCCCGTTTGACTTCCCTTCAGGGCGGAGGTGCAGGAGCGTGGTTGACGTCGGTGCCGTACGCCGACCCACTGCGCATCCCGGAGGCGCTGTGGCAGGCGGCTTCATCTTCTCGTCTTGGTCTCCCTATCCCCCAGTTAGCCCTTGCAGGTCAGTGCTCCTGCGGACAGGCGATTGACGACATGACGGTGCCTCATCACGCGGTTCGGTGCCCGCGTTACGGGGTCGCCACTACCATCCACGACACGGTGAAGTACATGCTTCGAGACTTTGCGGTCGAGGCGGGCTTCGCGGTAAAGGTGGAGGACTCTACGCTGTTCACACAGTTGGAGGCGGCTCGAGCGAGACTACTGGGACAGCCAGTGGTGGGAGAGGGGACACGGGCTGAGGGACCGGGGGAGCGGAGAGGCGAGGCGGGACAGCCGGGTGGCGGGGGACAGTGGGGACGGCACCAGCTGCGGGGTCAGGTGGAGCGAGGGACAGGTGGGCAGAGGGGACGGCAGGGGGAGCAGACGGGCCAGGACGGGGAGGGGGGACGGCACAGGCAGCAGCAGGAGAGCCAGTGGAGGCCGCGGGCCCAGGGCGCCGCGCCTCCAGGTTCGGCCTCGGGGGCGGGGCAGGGGCGGGAGCAGCAGAGAGCGGACGGAGGTACAGGAGGGGCAGCGGGATTGGGAGGGGAGGGCCAGGGAGTGAGAGAGGCAGCAGGGGATGGAGCAGGGGGGTCGGGAGGTTTGGGGGAGGGTAGGGAGGGGGAGGGGAGAGGACAGGTGGATGGAGGAGAGGAGAGGGGGAGAGAGACGATCGGAGAGGGGGCACCAAGGGACCAGACAGGGCAGCAGCCAGCGCAACAGCAGGGACCAGTCGGACGCACAGGCCGTGTAGGCACCGCCTCCCGCATTCCAGACCTCACCTGCCGCGACGTTGGCCAGGGTCTGATGGTTCTTGTGGATGTCTCCATAGCGGATCCACAGCGGGAGGGGAACGTGCAGCTGAGACGGGCGACCCCCACACAGATTGGAGTGGCAGCAGCTAGGCGGGTGCAGGAGAAGCTGCGTCACTGGGGGCCGCACTTAGAGGGGCTGCAGCCGGCACCACACTTTTACGCGTGCGTGGCGGAGACCTTTGGCCTTCTGAGTGAGCCGCTGCGTCAGTTTCTGGGGCTCTGCGCAAAGAGGATAGCACAGCGGAGGAGGGATAGAGGTGGGGGGGATGACGGATCGGCACGGATATTTGAGGCAGGACTCACTACACGCCTCTCCGTTGCACTGCAGCGCGCGCAGGCTCAATGCATGATCCAGCATGCGGTGCGGCAGTTAGGGAGGTCCGACGACGGGTGGATGCCCGCACCAGTCCCACTGGGTGCGGGGCAGGGAACTTGGCACCACGTCACAGGGTGCTTCGAGAGTGTGGCTGATATGCAGTATATATATGATGCATATGTGTAAAAAACAATAGTGGCTGTGCTTGAAACGCTGTGCCCGTGCGGTCGTGCGGGTTGCTGCCGTGTTTGGTCCTTTGGTGCTTCCTTCTCCTTAGTCTCTCTCTCTCTCTCCTCTTCTCTTCCCACCTCCCTCTTTCTGTTCCCTTCTTCTATCCTTCCCTTCTCTTCCTACCACCCTCTTCCTTTCCCTACCACTTCTTCTTACTCCTTCATCTTTCCTTCCTTTCCTTTCTTTCCCCCTTTTCCTACAAAATATATAAATCGTCCTCATAGCGCTTAGGCTATGTCGAAATTTCCTAGTCTTGGAAAAACCATTATATTCGGCTTGTATTTGCTCTTCCCTTATTAATGAATAACTGCTCTCGCCCACCGGCGCTTAGCTTCGGAGTTCTGATGGGATCCGGCGTAGTAGCCGAGGTATGATCGTACCACGTCAACCTCGTGCCCCGACCGCTACACACCCCTTGCCCGGGTCCCCCCCTTCATAGTCACACCCCCTGCCCCCTCATGCCATCCGCTCCCCCCGCCCCTACCCTCCGCGTGCCCGCTCCCTTGCCGCCTCTTTTGACCCTCCCTGCCCCCCCTCGCCGTTTCCCACCGCCCGCCATTCGCTCCTCCCCGCCCGTGCGCTCCCCTCCTTTACCTTCTCCTCCCCCCTCCCCTCCTCTGCTGCACGCCTCTTCCTTCCCCTCGCCGACCCACTCCACTCCCTGCCCCTCCTCAATCCGCACCCTGCCCCTCGTATCTCGCCCCCCTATGCTTGGTTTCTCCCCTCCCTGCCCCTCGCCGCCTTTCCCCGCTCCCCACCTCCCCCCTCTCCCTGCCCCCCCCACTCTCCCCCCCCCTTGTCCTTGGCTTCCTACCTCCCTGCCTCACCTTTCCCCCCTCCGTGTGCTCAGCTTCTCCCCTCCCTGCCCCTCCCTCCTCCCCGCCCTGCCCCTCATTTTCCGCCCCCCCCCCCCCCACGCCCGGTTTCTCCCCTCCCCGCGCCTCCCTTTCTTTCTCCGTGCCTCTCCTTTGCTCCCTCCCTGCCCCCGCCTGCCCATGCCCCTGTCTTTGGCTTCTCCCCTCCCTGCCCCACGTTTCTTCCCTCCCTGCCCCCCGTCTGCCCCTCCCTTGTTTTCCCCTCACCCATTGCTTCTCTCCTCCCTGCCCTTGATTTCCCACACCCCTGCCCTCGTTTCCTATCATCCATGCCCCTCGTTTCCCCCCTTTGTACGTTCAGCCTCTTCCCTCCCTGCCCCTCCCTTCCTCCCCCCCTGCCCTTTGCTCTCCCCTCGTTACGCTCCCTTCTCCCCATCCCTGCTGCCCTCTTACCACCATCAGCCCATCCCCACGACCAGCCCCCCTCCCACCCTTCAATCCCCCCCTCCCTCTCTCTCTCTCTCTCTCTCTCTCTCTCTCTTTCTCACACACACACACACACGCACACTCCCCTCCCCCACCCCCCCCACCTACATCCTCCCATTCTGCCCCTCCCTGCCCCTTTCCCACCCCCTCGCACGCCCCTCACCTCCCACCTCCGTGCAACTGGTTTCCCCCCTATGGTGCCACCCTTGCATCGCTCGCCCCTCTGCTCACCCTCTGCCCGCCCCTTTTCCGTGCCCTCAGTTGGCCCAGCCCCTGCCCGTTGCTGCCCCTCCCCTTGCCCCCTCAACTCCCCTGCCCCCTGTACACCCCAAGTCCCATCCAACCGCCCCCACCCTCCCCCGGCTGCCCGTTTCCGCTCTCCACCCCCGCGACCGTGTGCGGCTTCCAACCGCCCAACGGTGGTGCGCACGGGGCGTTTCTTCGCATGGGCAAGCCTCCCCGGGGGCCCCCCACCCCGCTGGGTCGTTGTTTGGGCAAAAAAAACGAAAAGAAAAGAATCGGACGCGCTAAAATCGTCCTTTCTTTTTCCCGCTTGCCCCTCCCCCGGCACGTGCCGAGCAAGGGGCATAAATGGGTACAACACGAGGACTTCCCGGGAGGTCACCCAGCCCAGTACTGCTCTCGCCCACCGGCGCTTAGCTTCGGAGTTCTGATGGGATCCGGCTAATAGCTGAGGTATGATCGTACCACGTCAACCTCGTGCCCCGACCGCCGGGTCCCCCCCTTCATAGTCACACCCCCTGCCCCCTCATGCCATCCGCTCCCCCCGCCCCTACCCTCCGCGTGCCCGCTCCCTTGCCGCCTCTTTTGACCCTCCCTGCCCCCCCTCGCCGTTTCCCACCGCCCGCCATTCGCTCCTCCCCGCCCGTGCGCTCCCCTCCTTTACCTTCTCCTCCCCCCTCCCCTCCTCTGCTGCACGCCTCTTCCTTCCCCTCGCCGACCCACTCCACTCCCTGCCCCTCCTCAATCCGCACCCTGCCCCTCGTATCTCGCCCCCCTATGCTTGGTTTCTCCCCTCCCTGCCCCTCGCCGCCTTTCCCCGCTCCCCACCTCCCCCCTCTCCCTGCCCCCCCCACTCTCCCCCCCCCCTTGTCCTTGGCTTCCTACCTCCCTGCCTCACCTTTCCCCCCTCCGTGTGCTCAGCTTCTCCCCTCCCTGCCCCTCCCTCCTCCCCGCCCTGCCCCTCATTTTCCGCCCCCCCCCCCCCCACGCCCGGTTTCTCCCCTCCCCGCGCCTCCCTTTCTTTCTCCGTGCCTCTCCTTTGCTCCCTCCCTGCCCCCGCCTGCCCATGCCCCTGTCTTTGGCTTCTCCCCTCCCTGCCCCACGTTTCTTCCCTCCCTGCCCCCCGTCTGCCCCTCCCTTGTTTTCCCCTCACCCATTGCTTCTCTCCTCCCTGCCCTTGATTTCCCACACCCCTGCCCTCGTTTCCTATCATCCATGCCCCTCGTTTCCCCCCTTTGTACGTTCAGCCTCTTCCCTCCCTGCCCCTCCCTTCCTCCCCCCTGCCCTTTGCTCTCCCCTCGTTACGCTCCCTTCTCCCCATCCCTGCTGCCCTCTTACCACCATCAGCCCATCCCCACGACCAGCCCCCCTCCCACCCTTCAATCCCCCCCTCCCTCTCTCTCTCTCTCTCTCTCTCTCTCTTTCTCACACGCACACACACACGCACACTCCCCTCCCCCACCCCCCCCCACCTACATCCTCCCATTCTGCCCCTCCCTGCCCCTTTCCCACCCCCTCGCACGCCCCTCACCTCCCACCTCCGTGCAACTGGTTTCCCCCCTATGGTGCCACCCTTGCATCGCTCGCCCCTCTGCTCACCCTCTGCCCGCCCCTTTTCCGTGCCCTCAGTTGGCCCAGCCCCTGCCCGTTGCTGCCCCTCCCCTTGCCCCCTCAACTCCCCTGCCCCCCGTACACCCCAAGTCCCATCCAACCGCCCCCACCCTCCCCCGGCTGCCCGTTTCCGCTCTCCACCCCCGCGACCGTGTGCGGCTTCCAACCGCCCAACGGTGGTGCGCACGGGGCGTTTCTTCGCATGGGCAAGCCTCCCCGGGGGCCCCCCACCCCGCTGGGTCGTTGTTTGGGCAAAAAAACGAAAAGAAAAGAATCGGACGCGCTAAAATCGTCCTTTCTTTTTCCCGCTTGCCCCTCCCCCGGCACGTGCCGAGCAAGGGGCATAAATGGGTACAACACGAGGACTTCCCGGGAGGTCACCCAGCCCAGTACTGCTCTCGCCCACCGGCGCTTAGCTTCGGAGTTCTGATGGGATCCGGCGTAGTAGCCTGAGGTATGATCGTACCACGTCAACCTCGTGCCCCGACCGCTACACACCCCTTGCCCGGGTCCCCCCCTTCATAGTCACACCCCCTGCCCCCTCATGCCATCCGCTCCCCCCGCCCCTACCCTCCGCGTGCCCGCTCCCTTGCCGCCTCTTTTGACCCTCCCTGCCCCCCCTCGCCGTTTCCCACCGCCCGCCATTCGCTCCTCCCCGCCCGTGCGCTCCCCTCCTTTACCTTCTCCTCCCCCCTCCCCTCCTCTGCTGCACGCCTCTTCCTTCCCCTCGCCGACCCACTCCACTCCCTGCCCCTCCTCAATCCGCACCCTGCCCCTCGTATCTCGCCCCCCTATGCTTGGTTTCTCCCCTCCCTGCCCCTCGCCGCCTTTCCCCGCTCCCCACCTCCCCCCTCTCCCTGCCCCCCCCACTCTCCCCCCCCCTTGTCCTTGGCTTCCTACCTCCCTGCCTCACCTTTCCCCCCTCCGTGTGCTCAGCTTCTCCCCTCCCTGCCCCTCCCTCCTCCCCGCCCTGCCCCTCATTTTCCGCCCCCCCCCCCCCACGCCCGGTTTCTCCCCTCCCCGCGCCTCCCTTTCTTTCTCCGTGCCTCTCCTTTGCTCCCTCCCTGCCCCCGCCTGCCCATGCCCCTGTCTTTGGCTTCTCCCCTCCCTGCCCCACGTTTCTTCCCTCCCTGCCCCCCGTCTGCCCCTCCCTTGTTTTCCCCTCACCCATTGCTTCTCTCCTCCCTGCCCTTGATTTCCCACACCCCTGCCCTCGTTTCCTATCATCCATGCCCCTCGTTTCCCCCCTTTGTACGTTCAGCCTCTTCCCTCCCTGCCCCTCCCTTCCTCCCCCCCTGCCCTTTGCTCTCCCCTCGTTACGCTCCCTTCTCCCCATCCCTGCTGCCCTCTTACCACCATCAGCCCATCCCCACGACCAGCCCCCCTCCCACCCTTCAATCCCCCCCTCCCTCTCTCTCTCTCTCTCTCTCTCTCTCTCTCTTTCTCACACACACACACACACGCACACTCCCCTCCCCCACCCCCCCCCACCTACATCCTCCCATTCTGCCCCTCCCTGCCCCTTTCCCACCCCCTCGCACGCCCCTCACCTCCCACCTCCGTGCAACTGGTTTCCCCCCTATGGTGCCACCCTTGCATCGCTCGCCCCTCTGCTCACCCTCTGCCCGCCCCTTTTCCGTGCCCTCAGTTGGCCCAGCCCCTGCCCGTTGCTGCCCCTCCCCTTGCCCCCTCAACTCCCCTGCCCCCCGTACACCCCAAGTCCCATCCAACCGCCCCCACCCTCCCCCGGCTGCCCGTTTCCGCTCTCCACCCCCGCGACCGTGTGCGGCTTCCAACCGCCCAACGGTGGTGCGCACGGGGCGTTTCTTCGCATGGGCAAGCCTCCCCGGGGGCCCCCCACCCCGCTGGGTCGTTGTTTGGGCAAAAAAAACGAAAAGAAAAGAATCGGACGCGCTAAAATCGTCCTTTCTTTTTCCCGCTTGCCCCTCCCCCGGCACGTGCCGAGCAAGGGGCATAAATGGGTACAACACGAGGACTTCCCGGGAGGTCACCCAGCCCAGTACTGCTCTCGCCCACCGATAGTGGCTGTGCTTGAAACGCTGTGCCCGTGCGGTCGTGCGGGTTGCTGCCGTGTTTTGGTCCTTTGGTGCTTCCTCCTCCTTAGTCTCTCTCCCTCTCTCCTCTTTTCTTCCCACCTCCCTCTTTCTGTTCCCTTCTTCTATCCTTCCCTTCTCTTCCTACCGCCCTCTTCTTTTCCCTACCACTTCTTCTTACTCCTTCATCCTTCCTTCCTTTCCTTTCTTTCCCCCTTTTCCTACAAAATATATATACCGTCCTCATAGCGATTAGGCTATGTCGAAATTTCCTAGTCTTGGAAAAACCATTATATTCGGCTTGTATTTGCTCTTCCCCTATTAATGAATAACTGCTCTCGCCCACCGGCGCTTAGCTTCGGAGTTCTGATGGGATCCGGCGTAGTAGCCGAGGTATGATCGTACCACGTCAACCTCGTGCCCCGACCGCTACACACCCCTTGCCCGGGTCCCCCCCTTCATAGTCACACCCCCTGCCCCCTCATGCCATCCGCTCCCCCCGCCCCTACCCTCCGCGTGCCCGCTCCCTTGCCGCCTCTTTTGACCCTCCCTGCCCCCCCTCGCCGTTTCCCACCGCCCGCCATTCGCTCCTCCCCGCCCGTGCGCTCCCCTCCTTTACCTTCTCCTCCCCCCTCCCCTCCTCTGCTGCACGCCTCTTCCTTCCCCTCGCCGACCCACTCCACTCCCTGCCCCTCCTCAATCCGCACCCTGCCCCTCGTATCTCGCCCCCCTATGCTTGGTTTCTCCCCTCCCTGCCCCTCGCCGCCTTTCCCCGCTCCCCACCTCCCCCCTCTCCCTGCCCCCCCCACTCTCCCCCCCCCTTGTCCTTGGCTTCCTACCTCCCTGCCTCACCTTTCCCCCCTCCGTGTGCTCAGCTTCTCCCCTCCCTGCCCCTCCCTCCTCCCCGCCCTGCCCCTCATTTTCCGCCCCCCCCCCCCCACGCCCGGTTTCTCCCCTCCCCCGCGCCTCCCTTTCTTTCTCCGTGCCTCTCCTTTGCTCCCTCCCTGCCCCCGCCTGCCCATGCCCCTGTCTTTGGCTTCTCCCCTCCCTGCCCCACGTTTCTTCCCTCCCTGCCCCCCGTCTGCCCCTCCCTTGTTTTCCCCTCACCCATTGCTTCTCTCCTCCCTGCCCTTGATTTCCCACACCCCTGCCCTCGTTTCCTATCATCCATGCCCCTCGTTTCCCCCCTTTGTACGTTCAGCCTCTTCCCTCCCTGCCCCTCCCTTCCTCCCCCCCTGCCCTTTGCTCTCCCCTCGTTACGCTCCCTTCTCCCCATCCCTGCTGCCCTCTTACCACCATCAGCCCATCCCCACGACCAGCCCCCCTCCCACCCTTCAATCCCCCCCTCCCTCTCTCTCTCTCTCTCTCTCTCTCTCTCTCTCTTTCTCACACACACACACACACACGCACACTCCCCTCCCCCACCCCCCCCACCTACATCCTCCCATTCTGCCCCTCCCTGCCCCTTTCCCACCCCCTCGCACGCCCCTCACCTCCCACCTCCGTGCAACTGGTTTCCCCCCTATGGTGCCACCCTTGCATCGCTCGCCCCTCTGCTCACCCTCTGCCCGCCCCTTTTCCGTGCCCTCAGTTGGCCCAGCCCCTGCCCGTTGCTGCCCCTCCCCTTGCCCCCTCAACTCCCCTGCCCCCCGTACACCCCAAGTCCCATCCAACCGCCCCCACCCTCCCCCGGCTGCCCGTTTCCGCTCTCCACCCCCGCGACCGTGTGCGGCTTCCAACCGCCCAACGGTGGTGCGCACGGGGCGTTTCTTCGCATGGGCAAGCCTCCCCGGGGGCCCCCCACCCCGCTGGGGTCGTTGTTTGGGCAAAAAAAACGAAAAGAAAAGAATCGGACGCGCTAAAATCGTCCTTTCTTTTTCCCGCTTGCCCCTCCCCCGGCACGTGCCGAGCAAGGGGCATAAATGGGTACAACACGAGGACTTCCCGGGAGGTCACCCAGCCCAGTACTGCTCTCGCCCACCGGCGCTTAGCTTCGGAGTTCTGATGGGATCCGGCTAATAGCTGAGGTATGATCGTACCACGTCAACCTCGTGCCCCGACCGCCGGGTCCCCCCCTTCATAGTCACACCCCCTGCCCCCTCATGCCATCCGCTCCCCCCGCCCCTACCCTCCGCGTGCCCGCTCCCTTGCCGCCTCTTTTGACCCTCCCTGCCCCCCTCGCCGTTTCCCACCGCCCGCCATTCGCTCCTCCCCGCCCGTGCGCTCCCCTCCTTTACCTTCTCCTCCCCCCTCCCCTCCTCTGCTGCACGCCTCTTCCTTCCCCTCGCCGACCCACTCCACTCCCTGCCCCTCCTCAATCCGCACCCTGCCCCTCGTATCTCGCCCCCCTATGCTTGGTTTCTCCCCTCCCTGCCCCTCGCCGCCTTTCCCCGCTCCCCACCTCCCCCCTCTCCCTGCCCCCCCCCACTCTCCCCCCCCCTTGTCCTTGGCTTCCTACCTCCCTGCCTCACCTTTCCCCCCTCCGTGTGCTCAGCTTCTCCCCTCCCTGCCCCTCCCTCCTCCCCGCCCTGCCCCTCATTTTCCGCCCCCCCCCCCCCACGCCCGGTTTCTCCCCTCCCCGCGCCTCCCTTTCTTTCTCCGTGCCTCTCCTTTGCTCCCTCCCTGCCCCCGCCTGCCCATGCCCCTGTCTTTGGCTTCTCCCCTCCCTGCCCCACGTTTCTTCCCTCCCTGCCCCCCGTCTGCCCCTCCCTTGTTTTCCCCTCACCCATTGCTTCTCTCCTCCCTGCCCTTGATTTCCCACACCCCTGCCCTCGTTTCCTATCATCCATGCCCCTCGTTTCCCCCCTTTGTACGTTCAGCCTCTTCCCTCCCTGCCCCTCCCTTCCTCCCCCCCTGCCCTTTGCTCTCCCCTCGTTACGCTCCCTTCTCCCCATCCCTGCTGCCCTCTTACCACCATCAGCCCATCCCCACGACCAGCCCCCCTCCCACCCTTCAATCCCCCCCTCCCTCTCTCTCTCTCTCTCTCTCTCTCTCTCTCTTTCTCACACACACACACACACACGCACACTCCCCTCCCCCACCCCCCCCCACCTACATCCTCCCATTCTGCCCCTCCCTGCCCCTTTCCCACCCCCTCGCACGCCCCTCACCTCCCACCTCCGTGCAACTGGTTTCCCCCCTATGGTGCCACCCTTGCATCGCTCGCCCCTCTGCTCACCCTCTGCCCGCCCCTTTTCCGTGCCCTCAGTTGGCCCAGCCCCTGCCCGTTGCTGCCCCTCCCCTTGCCCCCTCAACTCCCCTGCCCCCCTGTACACCCCAAGTCCCATCCAACCGCCCCCACCCTCCCCCGGCTGCCCGTTTCCGCTCTCCACCCCCGCGACCGTGTGCGGCTTCCAACCGCCCAACGGTGGTGCGCACGGGGCGTTTTCTTCGCATGGGCAAGCCTCCCCGGGGGCCCCCCACCCCGCTGGGTCGTTGTTTGGGCAAAAAAAACGAAAAGAAAAGAATCGGACGCGCTAAAATCGTCCTTTCTTTTTCCCGCTTGCCCCTCCCCCGGCACGTGCCGAGCAAGGGGCATAAATGGGTACAACACGAGGACTTCCCGGGAGGTCACCCAGCCCAGTACTGCTCTCGCCCACCGGCGCTTAGCTTCGGAGTTCTGATGGGATCCGGCTAATAGCTGAGGTATGATCGTACCACGTCAACCTCGTGCCCCGACCGCCGGGTCCCCCCCTTCATAGTCACACCCCCTGCCCCCTCATGCCATCCGCTCCCCCCGCCCCTACCCTCCGCGTGCCCGCTCCCTTGCCGCCTCTTTTGACCCTCCCTGCCCCCCCTCGCCGTTTCCCACCGCCCGCCATTCGCTCCTCCCCGCCCGTGCGCTCCCCTCCTTTACCTTCTCCTCCCCCCTCCCCTCCTCTGCTGCACGCCTCTTCCTTCCCCTCGCCGACCCACTCCACTCCCTGCCCCTCCTCAATCCGCACCCTGCCCCTCGTATCTCGCCCCCCTATGCTTGGTTTCTCCCCTCCCTGCCCCTCGCCGCCTTTCCCCGCTCCCCACCTCCCCCCTCTCCCTGCCCCCCCCACTCTCCCCCCCCCTTGTCCTTGGCTTCCTACCTCCCTGCCTCACCTTTCCCCCCTCCGTGTGCTCAGCTTCTCCCCTCCCTGCCCCTCCCTCCTCCCCGCCCTGCCCCTCATTTTCCGCCCCCCCCCCCCCACGCCCGGTTTCTCCCCTCCCCGCGCCTCCCTTTCTTTCTCCGTGCCTCTCCTTTGCTCCCTCCCTGCCCCCGCCTGCCCATGCCCCTGTCTTTGGCTTCTCCCCTCCCTGCCCCACGTTTCTTCCCTCCCTGCCCCCCGTCTGCCCCTCCCTTGTTTTCCCCTCACCCATTGCTTCTCTCCTCCCTGCCCTTGATTTCCCACACCCCTGCCCTCGTTTCCTATCATCCATGCCCCTCGTTTCCCCCCTTTGTACGTTCAGCCTCTTCCCTCCCTGCCCCTCCCTTCCTCCCCCCCTGCCCTTTGCTCTCCCCTCGTTACGCTCCCTTCTCCCCATCCCTGCTGCCCTCTTACCACCATCAGCCCATCCCCACGACCAGCCCCCCTCCCACCCTTCAATCCCCCCCTCCCTCTCTCTCTCTCTCTCTCTCTCTCTCTCTTTCTCACACGCACACACACACGCACACTCCCCTCCCCCACCCCCCCCCACCTACATCCTCCCATTCTGCCCCTCCCTGCCCCTTTCCCACCCCCTCGCACGCCCCTCACCTCCCACCTCCGTGCAACTGGTTTCCCCCCTATGGTGCCACCCTTGCATCGCTCGCCCCTCTGCTCACCCTCTGCCCGCCCCTTTTCCGTGCCCTCAGTTGGCCCAGCCCCTGCCCGTTGCTGCCCCTCCCCTTGCCCCCTCAACTCCCCTGCCCCCCGTACACCCCAAGTCCCATCCAACCGCCCCCACCCTCCCCCGGCTGCCCGTTTCCGCTCTCCACCCCCGCGACCGTGTGCGGCTTCCAACCGCCCAACGGTGGTGCGCACGGGGCGTTTCTTCGCATGGGCAAGCCTCCCCGGGGGCCCCCCACCCCGCTGGGTCGTTGTTTGGGCAAAAAAACGAAAAGAAAAGAATCGGACGCGCTAAAAATCGTCCTTTCTTTTTCCCGCTTGCCCCTCCCCCGGCACGTGCCGAGCAAGGGGCATAAATGGGTACAACACGAGGACTTCCCGGGAGGTCACCCAGCCCAGTACTGCTCTCGCCCACCGGCGCTTAGCTTCGGAGTTCTGATGGGATCCGGCTAATAGCTGAGGTATGATCGTACCACGTCAACCTCGTGCCCGACCGCTACACACCCCTTGCCCGGGTCCCCCCCTTCATAGTCACACCCCCTGCCCCCTCATGCCATCCGCTCCCCCCGCCCCTACCCTCCGCGTGCCCGCTCCCTTGCCGCCTCTTTTGACCCTCCCTGCCCCCCCTCGCCGTTTCCCACCGCCCGCCATTCGCTCCTCCCCGCCCGTGCGCTCCCCTCCTTTACCTTCTCCTCCCCCCTCCCCTCCTCTGCTGCACGCCTCTTCCTTCCCCTCGCCGACCCACTCCACTCCCTGCCCCTCCTCAATCCGCACCCTGCCCCTCGTATCTCGCCCCCCTATGCTTGGTTTCTCCCCTCCCTGCCCCTCGCCGCCTTTCCCCGCTCCCCACCTCCCCCCTCTCCCTGCCCCCCCCACTCTCCCCCCCCCTTGTCCTTGGCTTCCTACCTCCCTGCCTCACCTTTCCCCCCTCCGTGTGCTCAGCTTCTCCCCTCCCTGCCCCTCCCTCCTCCCCGCCCTGCCCCTCATTTTCCGCCCCCCCCCCCCCACGCCCGGTTTCTCCCCTCCCCGCGCCTCCCTTTCTTTCTCCGTGCCTCTCCTTTGCTCCCTCCCTGCCCCCGCCTGCCCATGCCCCTGTCTTTGGCTTCTCCCCTCCCTGCCCCACGTTTCTTCCCTCCCTGCCCCCCGTCTGCCCCTCCCTTGTTTTCCCCTCACCCATTGCTTCTCTCCTCCCTGCCCTTGATTTCCCACACCCCTGCCCTCGTTTCCTATCATCCATGCCCCTCGTTTCCCCCCTTTGTACGTTCAGCCTCTTCCCTCCCTGCCCCTCCCTTCCTCCCCCCCTGCCCTTTGCTCTCCCCTCGTTACGCTCCCTTCTCCCCATCCCTGCTGCCCTCTTACCACCATCAGCCCATCCCCACGACCAGCCCCCCTCCCACCCTTCAATCCCCCCTCCCTCTCTCTCTCTCTCTCTCTCTCTCTCTCTCTCTTTCTCACACACACACACACACGCACACTCCCCTCCCCCACCCCCCCCCACCTACATCCTCCCATTCTGCCCCTCCCTGCCCCTTTCCCACCCCCTCGCACGCCCCTCACCTCCCACCTCCGTGCAACTGGTTTCCCCCCTATGGTGCCACCCTTGCATCGCTCGCCCCTCTGCTCACCCTCTGCCCGCCCCTTTTCCGTGCCCTCAGTTGGCCCAGCCCCTGCCCGTTGCTGCCCCTCCCCTTGCCCCCTCAACTCCCCTGCCCCCCGTACACCCCAAGTCCCATCCAACCGCCCCCACCCTCCCCCGGCTGCCCGTTTCCGCTCTCCACCCCCGCGACCGTGTGCGGCTTCCAACCGCCCAACGGTGGTGCGCACGGGGCGTTTCTTCGCATGGGCAAGCCTCCCCGGGGGCCCCCCACCCCGCTGGGGTCGTTGTTTGGGCAAAAAAAACGAAAAGAAAAGAATCGGACGCGCTAAAATCGTCCTTTCTTTTTCCCGCTTGCCCCTCCCCCGGCACGTGCCGAGCAAGGGGCATAAATGGGTACAACACGAGGACTTCCCGGGAGGTCACCCAGCCCAGTACTGCTCTCGCCCACCGGCGCTTAGCTTCGGAGTTCTGATGGGATCCGGCGTAGTAGCCGAGGTATGATCGTACCACGTCAACCTCGTGCCCCGACCGCTACACACCCCTTGCCCGGGTCCCCCCCTTCATAGTCACACCCCCTGCCCCCTCATGCCATCCGCTCCCCCCGCCCCTACCCTCCGCGTGCCCGCTCCCTTGCCGCCTCTTTTGACCCTCCCTGCCCCCCCTCGCCGTTTCCCACCGCCCGCCATTCGCTCCTCCCCGCCCGTGCGCTCCCCTCCTTTACCTTCTCCTCCCCCCTCCCCTCCTCTGCTGCACGCCTCTTCCTTCCCCTCGCCGACCCACTCCACTCCCTGCCCCTCCTCAATCCGCACCCTGCCCCTCGTATCTCGCCCCCCTATGCTTGGTTTCTCCCCTCCCTGCCCCTCGCCGCCTTTCCCCGCTCCCCACCTCCCCCCTCTCCCTGCCCCCCCCACTCTCCCCCCCCCCTTGTCCTTGGCTTCCTACCTCCCTGCCTCACCTTTCCCCCCTCCGTGTGCTCAGCTTCTCCCCTCCCTGCCCCTCCCTCCTCCCCGCCCTGCCCCTCATTTTCCGCCCCCCCCCCCCCCACGCCCGGTTTCTCCCCTCCCCGCGCCTCCCTTTCTTTCTCCGTGCCTCTCCTTTGCTCCCTCCCTGCCCCCGCCTGCCCATGCCCCTGTCTTTGGCTTCTCCCCTCCCTGCCCCACGTTTCTTCCTCCCTGCCCCCCGTCTGCCCCTCCCTTGTTTTCCCCTCACCCATTGCTTCTCTCCTCCCTGCCCTTGATTTCCCACACCCCTGCCCTCGTTTCCTATCATCCATGCCCCTCGTTTCCCCCCTTTGTACGTTCAGCCTCTTCCCTCCCTGCCCCTCCCTTCCTCCCCCCCTGCCCTTTGCTCTCCCCTCGTTACGCTCCCTTCTCCCCATCCCTGCTGCCCTCTTACCACCATCAGCCCATCCCCACGACCAGCCCCCCTCCCACCCTTCAATCCCCCCCTCCCTCTCTCTCTCTCTCTCTCTCTCTCTCTCTCTCTTTCTCACACACACACACACACGCACACTCCCCTCCCCCACCCCCCCCCACCTACATCCTCCCATTCTGCCCCTCCCTGCCCCTTTCCCACCCCCTCGCACGCCCCTCACCTCCCACCTCCGTGCAACTGGTTTCCCCCCTATGGTGCCACCCTTGCATCGCTCGCCCCTCTGCTCACCCTCTGCCCGCCCCTTTTCCGTGCCCTCAGTTGGCCCAGCCCCTGCCCGTTGCTGCCCCTCCCCTTGCCCCCTCAACTCCCCTGCCCCCCGTACACCCCAAGTCCCATCCAACCGCCCCCACCCTCCCCCGGCTGCCCGTTTCCGCTCTCCACCCCCGCGACCGTGTGCGGCTTCCAACCGCCCAACGGTGGTGCGCACGGGGCGTTTCTTCGCATGGGCAAGCCTCCCCGGGGGCCCCCCACCCCGCTGGGGTCGTTGTTTGGGCAAAAAAAACGAAAAGAAAAGAATCGGACGCGCTAAAATCGTCCTTTCTTTTTCCCGCTTGCCCCTCCCCCGGCACGTGCCGAGCAAGGGGCATAAATGGGTACAACACGAGGACTTCCCGGGAGGTCACCCAGCCCAGTACTTGCTCTCGCCCACCGATAGTGGCTGTGCTTGAAACGCTGTGCCCGTGCGGTCGTGCGGGTTGCTGCCGTGTTTTGGTCCTTTGGTGCTTCCTCCTCCTTAGTCTCTCTCCCTCTCTCCTCTTTTCTTCCCACCTCCCTCTTTCTGTTCCCTTCTTCTATCCTTCCCTTCTCTTCCTACCGCCCTCTTCTTTTCCCTACCACTTCTTCTTACTCCTTCATCCTTCCTTCCTTTCCTTTCTTTCCCCCTTTTCCTACAAAATATATATACCGTCCTCATAGCGATTAGGCTATGTCGAAATTTCCTAGTCTTGGAAAAACCATTATATTCGGCTTGTATTTGCTCTTCCCCTATTAATGAATAACTGCTCTCGCCCACCGGCGCTTAGCTTCGGAGTTCTGATGGGATCCGGCGTAGTAGCCGAGGTATGATCGTACCACGTCAACCTCGTGCCCCGACCGCTACACACCCCTTGCCCGGGTCCCCCCCTTCATAGTCACACCCCCTGCCCCCTCATGCCATCCGCTCCCCCCGCCCCTACCCTCCGCGTGCCCGCTCCCTTGCCGCCTCTTTTGACCCTCCCTGCCCCCCCTCGCCGTTTCCCACCGCCCGCCATTCGCTCCTCCCCGCCCGTGCGCTCCCCTCCTTTACCTTCTCCTCCCCCCTCCCCTCCTCTGCTGCACGCCTCTTCCTTCCCCTCGCCGACCCACTCCACTCCCTGCCCCTCCTCAATCCGCACCCTGCCCCTCGTATCTCGCCCCCCTATGCTTGGTTTCTCCCCTCCCTGCCCCTCGCCGCCTTTCCCCGCTCCCCACCTCCCCCTCTCCCTGCCCCCCCCACTCTCCCCCCCCCTTGTCCTTGGCTTCCTACCTCCCTGCCTCACCTTTCCCCCCTCCGTGTGCTCAGCTTCTCCCCTCCCTGCCCCTCCCTCCTCCCCGCCCTGCCCCTCATTTTCCGCCCCCCCCCCCCCCACGCCCGGTTTCTCCCCTCCCCGCGCCTCCCTTTCTTTCTCCGTGCCTCTCCTTTGCTCCCTCCCTGCCCCCGCCTGCCCATGCCCCTGTCTTTGGCTTCTCCCCTCCCTGCCCCACGTTTCTTCCCTCCCTGCCCCCCGTCTGCCCCTCCCTTGTTTTCCCCTCACCCATTGCTTCTCTCCTCCCTGCCCTTGATTTCCCACACCCCTGCCCTCGTTTCCTATCATCCATGCCCCTCGTTTCCCCCCTTTGTACGTTCAGCCTCTTCCCTCCCTGCCCCTCCCTTCCTCCCCCCCTGCCCTTTGCTCTCCCCTCGTTACGCTCCCTTCTCCCCATCCCTGCTGCCCTCTTACCACCATCAGCCCATCCCCACGACCAGCCCCCCTCCCACCCTTCAATCCCCCCCTCCCTCTCTCTCTCTCTCTCTCTCTCTCTCTCTCTCTCTTTCTCACACACACACACACACGCACACTCCCCTCCCCCACCCCCCCCCACCTACATCCTCCCATTCTGCCCCTCCCTGCCCCTTTCCCACCCCCTCGCACGCCCCTCACCTCCCACCTCCGTGCAACTGGTTTCCCCCCTATGGTGCCACCCTTGCATCGCTCGCCCCTCTGCTCACCCTCTGCCCGCCCCTTTTCCGTGCCCTCAGTTGGCCCAGCCCCTGCCCGTTGCTGCCCCTCCCCTTGCCCCCTCAACTCCCCTGCCCCCCGTACACCCCAAGTCCCATCCAACCGCCCCCACCCTCCCCCGGCTGCCCGTTTCCGCTCTCCACCCCCGCGACCGTGTGCGGCTTCCAACCGCCCAACGGTGGTGCGCACGGGGCGTTTCTTCGCATGGGCAAGCCTCCCCGGGGGCCCCCCACCCCGCTGGGTCGTTGTTTGGGCAAAAAAAACGAAAAGAAAAGAATCGGACGCGCTAAAATCGTCCTTTCTTTTTCCCGCTTGCCCCTCCCCCGGCACGTGCCGAGCAAGGGGCATAAATGGGTACAACACGAGGACTTCCCGGGAGGTCACCCAGCCCAGTACTGCTCTCGCCCACCGGCGCTTAGCTTCGGAGTTCTGATGGGATCCGGCTAATAGCTGAGGTATGATCGTACCACGTCAACCTCGTGCCCCCGACCGCCGGGTCCCCCCCTTCATAGTCACACCCCCTGCCCCCTCATGCCATCCGCTCCCCCCGCCCCTACCCTCCGCGTGCCCGCTCCCTTGCCGCCTCTTTTGACCCTCCCTGCCCCCCCTCGCCGTTTCCCACCGCCCGCCATTCGCTCCTCCCCGCCCGTGCGCTCCCCTCCTTTACCTTCTCCTCCCCCCTCCCCTCCTCTGCTGCACGCCTCTTCCTTCCCCTCGCCGACCCACTCCACTCCCTGCCCCTCCTCAATCCGCACCCTGCCCCTCGTATCTCGCCCCCCTATGCTTGGTTTCTCCCCTCCCTGCCCCTCGCCGCCTTTCCCCGCTCCCCACCTCCCCCCTCTCCCTGCCCCCCCCACTCTCCCCCCCCCTTGTCCTTGGCTTCCTACCTCCCTGCCTCACCTTTCCCCCCTCCGTGTGCTCAGCTTCTCCCCTCCCTGCCCCTCCCTCCTCCCCGCCCTGCCCCTCATTTTCCGCCCCCCCCCCCCCACGCCCGGTTTCTCCCCTCCCCGCGCCTCCCTTTCTTTCTCCGTGCCTCTCCTTTGCTCCCTCCCTGCCCCCGCCTGCCCATGCCCCTGTCTTTGGCTTCTCCCCTCCCTGCCCCACGTTTCTTCCCTCCCTGCCCCCCGTCTGCCCCTCCCTTGTTTTCCCCTCACCCATTGCTTCTCTCCTCCCTGCCCTTGATTTCCCACACCCCTGCCCTCGTTTCCTATCATCCATGCCCCTCGTTTCCCCCCTTTGTACGTTCAGCCTCTTCCCTCCCTGCCCCTCCCTTCCTCCCCCCTGCCCTTTGCTCTCCCCTCGTTACGCTCCCTTCTCCCCATCCCTGCTGCCCTCTTACCACCATCAGCCCATCCCCACGACCAGCCCCCCTCCCACCCTTCAATCCCCCCTCCCTCTCTCTCTCTCTCTCTCTCTCTCTCTCTCTCTTTCTCACACACACACACACACGCACACTCCCCTCCCCCACCCCCCCCCACCTACATCCTCCCATTCTGCCCCTCCCTGCCCCTTTCCCACCCCCTCGCACGCCCCTCACCTCCCACCTCCGTGCAACTGGTTTCCCCCCTATGGTGCCACCCTTGCATCGCTCGCCCCTCTGCTCACCCTCTGCCCGCCCCTTTTCCGTGCCCTCAGTTGGCCCAGCCCCTGCCCGTTGCTGCCCCTCCCCTTGCCCCCTCAACTCCCCTGCCCCCCGTACACCCCAAGTCCCATCCAACCGCCCCCACCCTCCCCCGGCTGCCCGTTTCCGCTCTCCACCCCCCGCGACCGTGTGCGGCTTCCAACCGCCCAACGGTGGTGCGCACGGGGCGTTTCTTCGCATGGGCAAGCCTCCCCGGGGGCCCCCCACCCCGCTGGGTCGTTGTTTGGGCAAAAAAACGAAAAGAAAAAGAATCGGACGCGCTAAAATCGTCCTTTCTTTTTCCCGCTTGCCCCTCCCCCGGCACGTGCCGAGCAAGGGGCATAAATGGGTACAACACGAGGACTTCCCGGGAGGTCACCCAGCCCATAACTGCTCTCGCCCACCGGCGCTTAGCTTCGGAGTTCTGATGGGATCCGGCGTAGTAGCCGAGGTATGATCGTACCACGTCAACCTCGTGCCCCGACCGCTACACACCCCTTGCCCGGGTCCCCCCCTTCATAGTCACACCCCCTGCCCCCTCATGCCATCCGCTCCCCCCGCCCCTACCCTCCGCGTGCCCGCTCCCTTGCCGCCTCTTTTGACCCTCCCTGCCCCCCCTCGCCGTTTCCCACCGCCCGCCATTCGCTCCTCCCCGCCCGTGCGCTCCCTCCTTTACCTTCTCCTCCCCCCTCCCCTCCTCTGCTGCACGCCTCTTCCTTCCCCTCGCCGACCCACTCCACTCCCTGCCCCTCCTCAATCCGCACCCTGCCCCTCGTATCTCGCCCCCCTATGCTTGGTTTCTCCCCTCCCTGCCCCTCGCCGCCTTTCCCCGCTCCCCACCTCCCCCCTCTCCCTGCCCCCCCCACTCTCCCCCCCCCTTGTCCTTGGCTTCCTACCTCCCTGCCTCACCTTTCCCCCCTCCGTGTGCTCAGCTTCTCCCCTCCCTGCCCCTCCCTCCTCCCCGCCCTGCCCCTCATTTTCCGCCCCCCCCCCCCCACGCCCGGTTTCTCCCCTCCCCGCGCCTCCCTTTCTTTCTCCGTGCCTCTCCTTTGCTCCCTCCCTGCCCCCGCCTGCCCATGCCCCTGTCTTTGGCTTCTCCCCTCCCTGCCCCACGTTTCTTCCCTCCCTGCCCCCCGTCTGCCCCTCCCTTGTTTTCCCCTCACCCATTGCTTCTCTCCTCCCTGCCCTTGATTTCCCACACCCCTGCCCTCGTTTCCTATCATCCATGCCCCTCGTTTCCCCCCTTTGTACGTTCAGCCTCTTCCCTCCCTGCCCCTCCCTTCCTCCCCCCCTGCCCTTTGCTCTCCCCTCGTTACGCTCCCTTCTCCCCATCCCTGCTGCCCTCTTACCACCATCAGCCCATCCCCACGACCAGCCCCCCTCCCACCCTTCAATCCCCCCCTCCCTCTCTCTCTCTCTCTCTCTCTCTCTCTTTCTCACACAGCACACACACACGCACACTCCCCTCCCCCATCCCCCCCCCACCTACATCCTCCCATTCTGCCCCTCCCTGCCCCTTTCCCACCCCCTCGCACGCCCCTCACCTCCCACCTCCGTGCAACTGGTTTCCCCCCTATGGTGCCACCCTTGCATCGCTCGCCCCTCTGCTCACCCTCTGCCCGCCCCTTTTCCGTGCCCTCAGTTGGCCCAGCCCCTGCCCGTTGCTGCCCCTCCCCTTGCCCCCTCAACTCCCCTGCCCCCTGTACACCCCAAGTCCCATCCAACCGCCCCCACCCTCCCCCGGCTGCCCGTTTCCGCTCTCCACCCCCGCGACCGTGTGCGGCTTCCAACCGCCCAACGGTGGTGCGCACGGGGCGTTTCTTCGCATGGGCAAGCCTCCCCGGGGGCCCCCCACCCCGCTGGGTCGTTGTTTGGGCAAAAAAACGAAAAGAAAAGATCGGACGCGCTAAAATCGTCCTTTCTTTTTCCCCGCTTGCCCCTCCCCCGGCACGTGCCGAGCAAGGGGCATAAATGGGTACAACACGAGGACTTCCCGGGAGGTCACCCAGCCCAGTACTGCTCTCGCCCACCGGCGCTTAGCTTCGGAGTTCTGATGGGATCCGGCTAATAGCTGAGGTATGATCGTACCACGTCAACCTCGTGCCCCGACCGCTACACACCCCTTGCCCGGGTCCCCCCCTTCATAGTCACACCCCCTGCCCCCTCATGCCATCCGCTCCCCCCGCCCCTACCCTCCGCGTGCCCGCTCCCTTGCCGCCTCTTTTGACCCTCCCTGCCCCCCCTCGCCGTTTCCCACCGCCCGCCATTCGCTCCTCCCCGCCCGTGCGCTCCCCTCCTTTACCTTCTCCTCCCCCCTCCCCTCCTCTGCTGCACGCCTCTTCCTTCCCCTCGCCGACCCACTCCACTCCCTGCCCCTCCTCAATCCGCACCCTGCCCCTCGTATCTCGCCCCCCTATGCTTGGTTTCTCCCCTCCCTGCCCCTCGCCGCCTTTCCCCGCTCCCCACCTCCCCCCTCTCCCTGCCCCCCCCACTCTCCCCCCCCCTTGTCCTTGGCTTCCTACCTCCCTGCCTCACCTTTCCCCCCTCCGTGTGCTCAGCTTCTCCCCTCCCTGCCCCTCCCTCCTCCCCGCCCTGCCCCTCATTTTCCGCCCCCCCCCCCCACGCCCGGTTTCTCCCCTCCCCGCGCCTCCCTTTCTTTCTCCGTGCCTCTCCTTTGCTCCCTCCCTGCCCCCGCCTGCCCATGCCCCTGTCTTTGGCTTCTCCCCTCCCTGCCCCACGTTTCTTCCCTCCCTGCCCCCCGTCTGCCCCTCCCTTGTTTTCCCCTCACCCATTGCTTCTCTCCTCCCTGCCCTTGATTTCCCACACCCCTGCCCTCGTTTCCTATCATCCATGCCCCTCGTTTCCCCCCTTTGTACGTTCAGCCTCTTCCCTCCCTGCCCCTCCCTTCCTCCCCCCCTGCCCTTTGCTCTCCCCTCGTTACGCTCCCTTCTCCCCATCCCTGCTGCCCTCTTACCACCATCAGCCCATCCCCACGACCAGCCCCCCTCCCACCCTTCAATCCCCCCCTCCCTCTCTCTCTCTCTCTCTCTCTCTCTCTCTCTTTCTCACACACACACACACACGCACACTCCCCTCCCCCACCCCCCCCCACCTACATCCTCCCATTCTGCCCCTCCCTGCCCCTTTCCCACCCCCTCGCACGCCCCTCACCTCCCACCTCCGTGCAACTGGTTTCCCCCCTATGGTGCCACCCTTGCATCGCTCGCCCCTCTGCTCACCCTCTGCCCGCCCCTTTTCCGTGCCCTCAGTTGGCCCAGCCCCTGCCCGTTGCTGCCCCTCCCCTTGCCCCCTCAACTCCCCTGCCCCCCGTACACCCCAAGTCCCATCCAACCGCCCCCACCCTCCCCCGCTGCCCGTTTCCGCTCTCCACCCCCGCGACCGTGTGCGGCTTCCAACCGCCCAACGGTGGTGCGCACGGGGCGTTTCTTCTTCGCATGGGCAAGCCTCCCCGGGGGCCCCCCACCCCGCTGGGTCGTTGTTTGGGCAAAAAAAACGAAAAGAAAAGAATCGGACGCGCTAAAAATCGTCCTTTCTTTTCCCGCTTGCCCCTCCTCCCGGCACGTGCCGAGCAAGGGCATAAATGGGTACAACACGAGGACTTCCCGGGAGGTCACCCAGCCCAGTACTGCTCTCGCCCACCGGCGCTTAGCTTCGGAGTTCTGATGGGATCCGGCGTAAGTAGCCGAGGTATGATCGTACCACGTCAACCTCGTGCCCCCGCTACACACGCCCTTGCCCGGGTCCCCCCCTTCATAGTCACACCCCCTGCCCCCTCATGCCATCCGCTCCCCCCGCCCTACCCTCCGCGTGCCCGCTCCCTTGCCGCCTCTTTTGACCCTCCCTGCCCCCCCTCGCCGTTTCCCACCGCCCGCCATTCGCTCCTCCCCGCCCGTGCGCTCCCCTCCTTTACCTTCTCCTCCCCCTCCCCTCCTCTGCTGCACGCCTCTTCCTTCCCCTCGCCGACCCACTCCACTCCCTGCCCCTCCTCAATCCGCACCCTGCCCCTCGTATCTCGCCCCCCTATGCTTGGTTTCTCCCCTCCCTGCCCCTCGCCGCCTTTCCCCGCTCCCCACCTCCCCCCTCTCCCTGCCCCCCCCACTCTCCCCCCCCCTTGTCCTTGGCTTCCTACCTCCCTGCCTCACCTTTCCCCCCTCCGTGTGCTCAGCTTCTCCCCTCCCTGCCCCTCCCTCCTCCCCGCCCTGCCCCTCATTTTCCGCCCCCCCCCCCCCCACGCCCGGTTTCTCCCCTCCCCGCGCCTCCCTTTCTTTCTCCGTGCCTCTCCTTTGCTCCCTCCCTGCCCCCGCCTGCCCATGCCCCTGTCTTTGGCTTCTCCCCTCCCTGCCCCACGTTTCTTCCCTCCCTGCCCCCCGTCTGCCCCTCCCTTGTTTTCCCCTCACCCATTGCTTCTCTCCTCCCTGCCCTTGATTTCCCACACCCCTGCCCTCGTTTCCTATCATCCATGCCCCTCGTTTCCCCCCTTTGTACGTTCAGCCTCTTCCCTCCCTGCCCCTCCCTTCCTCCCCCCCTGCCCTTTGCTCTCCCCTCGTTACGCTCCCTTCTCCCCATCCCTGCTGCCCTCTTACCACCATCAGCCCATCCCCACGACCAGCCCCCCTCCCACCCTTCAATCCCCCCCTCCCTCTCTCTCTCTCTCTCTCTCTCTCTTTCTCACACAGCACACACACACGCACACTCCCTCCCCCACCCCCCCCCACCTACATCCTCCCATTCTGCCCCTCCCTGCCCCTTTCCCACCCCCTCGCACGCCCCTCACCTCCCACCTCCGTGCAACTGGTTTCCCCCCTATGGTGCCACCCTTGCATCGCTCGCCCCTCTGCTCACCCTCTGCCCGCCCCTTTTCCGTGCCCTCAGTTGGCCCAGCCCCTGCCCGTTGCTGCCCCTCCCCTTGCCCCCTCAACTCCCCTGCCCCCCGTACACCCCAAGTCCCATCCAACCGCCCCCACCCTCCCCCGGCTGCCCGTTTCCGCTCTCCACCCCCGCGACCGTGTGCGGCTTCCAACCGCCCAACGGTGGTGCGCACGGGGCGTTTCTTCGCATGGGCAAGCCTCCCCGGGGGCCCCCCACCCCGCTGGGTCGTTGTTTGGGCAAAAAAACGAAAAGAGAAAAGAATCGGACGCGCTAAAATCGTCCTTTCTTTTTCCCGCTTGCCCCTCCCCCGGCACGTGCCGAGCAAGGGGCATAAATGGGTACAACACGAGGACTTCCCGGGAGGTCACCCAGCCCAGTACTCTGCTCTCGCCCACCGATAGTGGCTGTGCTTGAAACGCTGTGCCCGTGCGGTCGTGCGGGTTGCTGCCAGTGTTTTGGTCCTTTGGTGCTTCCTCCTCCTTAGTCTCTCTCCCTCTCTCCTCTTTCTTCTTCCCACCTCCCTCTTTCTGTTCCCTTCTTCTATCCTTCCCTTCTCTTCCTACCGCCCTCTTCTTTTCCCTACCACTTCTTCTTACTCCTTCATCCTTCCTTCTTTCCTTTCTTTCCCCCTTTTCCTACAAAATATATATACCGTCCTCATAGCGATTAGGCTATGTCGAAATTTCCTAGTCTTGGAAAAACCATTATATTCGGCTTGTATTTGCTCTTCCCCTATTAATGAATAACTGCTCTCGCCCACCGGCGCTTAGCTTCGGAGTTCTGATGGGAATCCGGCGTAGTAGCCGAGGTATGATCGTACCACGTCAACCTCGTGCCCCGACCGCTACACACCCCTTGCCCGGGTCCCCCCCTTCATAGTCACACCCCCTGCCCCCTCATGCCATCCGCTCCCCCCGCCCCTACCCTCCGCGTGCCCGCTCCCTTGCCGCCTCTTTGACCCTCCCTGCCCCCCCTCGCCGTTTCCCACCGCCCGCCATTCGCTCCTCCCCGCCCGTGCGCTCCCCTCCTTTACCTTCTCCTCCCCCTCCCCTCCTCTGCTGCACGCCTCTTCCTTCCCCTCGCCGACCCACTCCACTCCCTGCCCCTCCTCAATCCGCACCCTGCCCCTCGTATCTCGCCCCCCTATGCTTGGTTTCTCCCCTCCCTGCCCCTCGCCGCCTTTCCCCGCTCCCCCCTCCCCCCTCTCCCTGCCCCCCCCACTCTCCCCCCCCCTTGTCCTTGGCTTCCTACCTCCCTGCCTCACCTTTCCCCCCTCCGTGTGCTCAGCTTCTCCCCTCCCTGCCCCTCCCTCCTCCCCGCCCTGCCCCTCATTTTCCGCCCCCCCCCCCCCACGCCCGTTTCTCCCCTCCCCGCGCCTCCCTTTCTTTCTCCGTGCCTCTCCTTTGCTCCCTCCCTGCCCCCGCCTGCCCATGCCCCTGTCTTTGGCTTCTCCCCTCCCTGCCCCACGTTTCTTCCCTCCCTGCCCCCCGTCTGCCCCTCCCTTGTTTTCCCCTCACCCATTGCTTCTCTCCTCCCTGCCCTTGATTTCCCACACCCCTGCCCTCGTTTCCTATCATCCATGCCCCTCGTTTCCCCCCTTTGTACGTTCAGCCTCTTCCCTCCCTGCCCCTCCCTTCCTCCCCCCCTGCCCTTTGCTCTCCCCTCGTTACGCTCCCTTCTCCCCATCCCTGCTGCCCTCTTACCACCATCAGCCCATCCCCACGACCAGCCCCCCTCCCACCCTTCAATCCCCCCCTCCCTCTCTCTCTCTCTCTCTCTCTCTCTCTCTCTCTTTCTCACACACACACACACACACGCACACTCCCCTCCCCCATCCCCCCCCACCTACATCCTCCATTCTGCCCCTCCCTGCCCCTTTCCCACCCCCTCGCACGCCCCTCACCTCCACCTCCGTGCAACTGGTTTCCCCCCTATGGTGCCACCCTTGCATCGCTCGCCCCTCTGCTCACCCTCTGCCCGCCCCTTTTCCGTGCCCTCAGTTGGCCCAGCCCCTGCCCGTTGCTGCCCCTCCCCTTGCCCCCTCAACTCCCCTGCCCCCTGTACACCCCAAGTCCCATCCAACCGCCCCCACCCTCCCCCGGCTGCCCGTTTCCGCTCTCCACCCCCGCGACCGTGTGCGGCTTCCAACCGCCCAACGGTGGTGCGCACGGGGCGTTTCTTCGCATGGGCAAGCCTCCCCGGGGGCCCCCCACCCCGCTGGGTCGTTGTTTGGGCAAAAAAAAACGAAAAGAAAAGAATCGGACGCGCTAAAAATCGTCCTTTCTTTTTCCCGCTTGCCCCTCCCCCGGCACGTGCCGAGCAAGGGGCATAAATGGGTACAACACGAGGACTTCCCGGGAGGTCACCCAGCCCAGTACTGCTCTCGCCCACCGGCGCTTAGCTTCGGAGTTCTGATGGGATCCGGCTAATAGCTGAGGTATGATCGTACCACGTCAACCTCGTGCCCCGACCGCCGGGTCCCCCCCCTTCATAGTCACACCCCCTGCCCCCTCATGCCATCCGCTCCCCCCGCCCCTACCCTCCGCGTGCCCGCTCCCTTGCCGCCTCTTTTGACCCTCCCTGCCCCCCCTCGCCGTTTCCCACCGCCCGCCATTCGCTCCTCCCCGCCCGTGCGCTCCCCTCCTTTACCTTCTCCTCCCCCCTCCCCTCCTCTGCTGCACGCCTCTTCCTTCCCCTCGCCGACCCACTCCACTCCCTGCCCCTCCTCAATCCGCACCCTGCCCCTCGTATCTCGCCCCCCTATGCTTGGTTTTCTCCCCTCCCTGCCCCTCGCCGCCTTTCCCCGCTCCCCACCTCCCCCCTCTCCCTGCCCCCCCCACTCTCCCCCCCCCTTGTCCTTGGCTTCCTACCTCCCTGCCTCACCTTTCCCCCCTCCGTGTGCTCAGCTTCTCCCCTCCCTGCCCCTCCCTCCTCCCCGCCCTGCCCCTCATTTTCCGCCCCCCCCCCCCCACGCCCGGTTTCTCCCCTCCCCGCGCCTCCCTTTCTTTCTCCGTGCCTCTCCTTTGCTCCCTCCCTGCCCCCGCCTGCCCATGCCCCTGTCTTTGGCTTCTCCCCTCCCTGCCCCACGTTTCTTCCCTCCCTGCCCCCCGTCTGCCCCTCCCTTGTTTTCCCCTCACCCATTGCTTCTCTCCTCCCTGCCCTTGATTTCCCACACCCCTGCCCTCGTTTCCTATCATCCATGCCCCTCGTTTCCCCCCTTTGTACGTTCAGCCTCTTCCCTCCCTGCCCCTCCCTTCCTCCCCCCCTGCCCTTTGCTCTCCCCTCGTTACGCTCCCTTCTCCCCATCCCTGCTGCCCTCTTACCACCATCAGCCCATCCCCACGACCAGCCCCCCTCCCACCCTTCAATCCCCCCCTCCCTCTCTCTCTCTCTCTCTCTCTCTCTTTCTCACACGCACACACACACGCACACTCCCCTCCCCCACCCCCCCCCACCTACATCCTCCCATTCTGCCCCTCCCTGCCCCTTTCCCACCCCCTCGCACGCCCCTCACCTCCCACCTCCGTGCAACTGGTTTCCCCCCTATGGTGCCACCCTTGCATCGCTCGCCCCTCTGCTCACCCTCTGCCCGCCCCTTTTCCGTGCCCTCAGTTGGCCCAGCCCCTGCCCGTTGCTGCCCCTCCCCTTGCCCCCTCAACTCCCCTGCCCCCCGTACACCCCAAGTCCCATCCAACCGCCCCCACCCTCCCCCGGCTGCCCGTTTCCGCTCTCCACCCCCGCGACCGTGTGCGGCTTCCAACCGCCCAACGGTGGTGCGCACGGGGCGTTTCTTCGCATGGGCAAGCCTCCCCGGGGGCCCCCCACCCCGCTGGGTCGTTGTTTGGGCAAAAAAAACGAAAAGAAAAGAATCGGACGCGCTAAAATCGTCCTTTCTTTTTCCCCGCTTGCCCCTCCCCCCGGCACGTGCCGAGCAAGGGGCATAATGGGTACAACACGAGGACTTCCCGGGAGGTCACCCAGCCCAGTACTGCTCTCGCCCACCGATAGTGGCTGTGCTTGAAACGCTGTGCCCGTGCGGTCGTGCGGGTTGCTGCCGTGTTTTGGTCCTTTGGTGCTTCCTCCTCCTTAGTCTCTCTCCCTCTCTCCTCTTTTCTTCCCACCTCCCTCTTTCTGTTCCCTTCTTCTATCCTTCCCTTCTCTTCCTACCGCCCTCTTCTTTTCCCTACCACTTCTTCTTACTCCTTCATCCTTCCTTCCTTTCCTTTCTTTCCCCCTTTTCCTACAAAATATATAACCGTCCTCATAGCGATTAGGCTATGTCGAAATTTCCTAGTCTTGGAAAAACCATTATATTCGGCTTGTATTTGCTCTTCCCCTATTAATGAATAACTGCTCTCGCCCACCGGCGCTTAGCTTCGGAGTTCTGATGGGATCCGGCGTAGTAGCCGAGGTATGATCGTACCACGTCAACCTCGTGCCCCGACCGCTACACACCCCTTGCCCGGGTCCCCCCCTTCATAGTCACACCCCTGCCCCCTCATGCCATCCGCTCCCCCCGCCCCTACCCTCCGCGTGCCCGCTCCCTTGCCGCCTCTTTTGACCCTCCCTGCCCCCCCTCGCCGTTTCCCACCGCCCGCCATTTCGCTCCTCCCCGCCCGTGCGCTCCCCTCCTTTACCTTCTCCTCCCCCCTCCCCTCCTCTGCTGCACGCCTCTTCCTTCCCCTCGCCGACCCACTCCACTCCCTGCCCCTCCTCAATCCGCACCCTGCCCCTCGTATCTCGCCCCCCTATGCTTGGTTTCTCCCCTCCCTGCCCCTCGCCGCCTTTCCCCGCTCCCCACCTCCCCCCTCTCCCTGCCCCCCCCCACTCTCCCCCCCCCTTGTCCTTGGCTTCCTACCTCCCTGCCTCACCTTTCCCCCCTCCGTGTGCTCAGCTTCTCCCCTCCCTGCCCCTCCCTCCTCCCCGCCCTGCCCCTCATTTTCCCGCCCCCCCCCCCCCCACGCCCGGTTTTCTCCCCTCCCCGCGCCTCCCTTTCTTTCTCCGTGCCTCTCCTTTGCTCCCTCCCTGCCCCCGCCTGCCCCATGCCCCTGTCTTTGGCTTCTCCCCTCCCTGCCCCACGTTTCTTCCCTCCCTGCCCCCCGTCTGCCCCTCCCTTGTTTTCCCCTCACCCATTGCTTCTCTCCTCCCTGCCCTTGATTTCCCACACCCCTGCCCTCGTTTCCTATCATCCATGCCCCTCGTTTCCCCCCTTTGTACGTTCAGCCTCTTCCCTCCCTGCCCTCCCTTCCTCCCCCCCTGCCCTTTGCTCTCCCCTCGTTACGCTCCCCTTCTCCCCATCCCTGCTGCCCTCTTACCACCATCAGCCCATCCCCACGACCAGCCCCCCTCCCACCCTTCAATCCCCCCCTCCCTCTCTCTCTCTCTCCTCTCTCTCTCTCTCTCTTTCTCACACACACACACACACACGCACACTCCCCTCCCCCATCCCCCCCCCACCTACATCCTCCCATTCTGCCCCTCCCTGCCCCTTTCCCACCCCCTCGCACGCCCCTCACCTCCCACCTCCGTGCAACTGGTTTCCCCCCTATGTGCCACCCTTGCATCGCTCGCCCCTCTGCTCACCCTCTGCCCGCCCCTTTTCCGTGCCCTCAGTTGGCCCAGCCACTGCCCGTTGCTGCCCCTCCCCTTGCCCCCTCAACTCCCCCTGCCCCCTGTACACCCCAAGTCCCATCCAACCGCCCCACCCTCCCCCGGGCTGCCCGTTTCCGCTCTCCACACCCCCGCGACCAGGTGTGCGGCTTCCAACCGCCCAACGGTGGTGCGCACGGGGGCGTTCTTCTTCGCATGGGCAAGCCTCCCCCGGGGGCCCCCCACCCCGCTGGGGTCGTGTTTGGGCAAAAAAAACGAAAAGAAAAGAATCGGAACGCGCTAAAATCGTCCTTTCTTTTTCCCGCTTGCCCCTCCCCCGGCACGTGCCGAGCAAGGGGCATAAATGGGTACAACACGAGGACTTCCCGGGAGGTCACCCAGCCCAGTACTGCTCTCGCCCACCGGCGCTTAGCTTCGGAGTTCTGATGGGGATCCGGCTAATAGCTGAGGTATGATCGTACCACGTCAACCTCGTGCCCCGACCGCTACACACCCCTTGCCCGGGTCCCCCCCTTCATAGTCACACCCCCCTGCCCCCTCATGCCATCCGCTCCCCCCGCCCCTACCCTCCGCGTGCCCGCTCCCTTGCCGCCTCTTTGACCCTCCCTGCCCCCCCCCTCGCCGTTTCCCACCGCCCGCCATTCGCTCCTCCCCGCCCGTGCGCTCCCCTCCTTTACCTTCTCCTCCCCCCTCCCCTCCTCTGCTGCACGCCTCTTCCTTCCCCTCGCCGACCCACTCCACTCCCTGCCCCTCCTCAATCCGCACCCTGCCCCTCGTATCTCGCCCCCTATGCTTGGTTTCTCCCCTCCCTGCCCCTCGCCGCCTTTCCCCGCTCCCCACCTCCCCCCTCTCCCTGCCCCCCCACTCTCCCCCCCCCCTTGTCCTTGGCTTCCTACCTCCCTGCCTCACCTTTCCCCCCTCCGTGTGCTCAGCTTCTCCCCTCCCTGCCCCTCCCTCCTCCCCGCCCTGCCCCTCATTTTCCGCCCCCCCCCCCCCACGCCCGGTTTCTCCCCTCCCCGCGCCTCCCTTTCTTTCTCCGTGCCTCTCCTTTGCTCCCTCCCTGCCCCCGCCTGCCCATGCCCCTGTCTTTGGCTTCTCCCCTCCCTGCCCCACGTTTCTTCCCTCCCTGCCCCCCGTCTGCCCCTCCCTGTTTTCCCCCTCACCCATTGCTTCTCTCCTCCCTGCCCTTGATTTCCCACACCCCTGCCCTCGTTTCCTATCATCCATGCCCCCCGTTTCCCCCCTTTGTACGTTCAGCCTCTTCCCTCCCTGCCCTCCCTTCCTCCCCCCCTGCCCTTTGCTCTCCCCTCGTTACGCTCCCTTCTCCCCATCCCTGCTGCCCTCTTACCACCATCAGCCCATCCCCCACGACCAGCCCCCCTCCCACCCTTCAATCCCCCCCTCCCTCTCTCTCTCTCTCTCTCTCTCTCTCTCTCTCTTTCTCACACACACACACACACACGCACACTCCCCTCCCCCACCCCCCCCCACCTACATCCTCCCATTCTGCCCCTCCCTGCCCCTTTCCCACCCCCTCGCACGCCCCTCACCTCCACCTCCGTGCAACTGGTTTCCCCCCTATGTGCCACCTTGCATCGCTCGCCCCTCTGCTCACCCTCTGCCCCCCCTTTTCCGTGCCCTCAGTTGGCCCAGCCCCTGCCCGTTGCTGCCCTCCCCTTGCCCCCTCAACTCCCCTGCCCCCGTACACCCAAGTCCTCCAACCGCCCCCCCCTCCCCCGGCTGCCCGTTTCCGCTCTCCACCCCGCGACCGTGTGCGGCTTCCAACCGCCCAACGGTGGTGCGCACGGGGCGTTTCTTCGCATGGGCAAGCCTCCCCGGGGGCCCCCCCCACCCCGCTGGGTCGTTGTTTGGGCAAAAAAACGAAAAGAAAAGAATCGGACGCGCTAAAATCGTCCTTTCTTTTTCCCGCTTGCCCCTCCCCCGGCACGTGCCGAGCAAGGGGCATAAATGGGTACAACACGAGGACTTCCCGGGAGGTCACCCAGCC